TCAAGAGTGGAAAGACAAGCCACAGAATGGAAGAAAATATTCATAAATCATATATCTGATAAGGGACTAAGAGCCAGAATACTTGCTTTACAAAATCATATCCTGCAAATCAACAGTAAAAAATAAGCAAGCTAAAAATGGGCAAAGAACTTGAATAGACATTTCTCCAAACATATACAAATGACCAGTAGACACACAAAAGAAGCATAACATCACTGGCCATTAAAGAAATGCAAATCAAAACTATAATGGTAACCCTTCACACTCATTAGATGGCTAAGTAAAAACAGAAACAAACAAAAAACCCAGAAAATTAGTGTTGGAGAGGATGTGAAAAAACTAGAATGCTTCTGCATTGCTGGTGGGTATGTAAAACGGTGTATCTTTGTGGAAAAATTTTGGCAATTCCTCACTTACATAAAAAATAACCACATAATTCAGTGATTCCTCTCCTAGGTATGTTATCCCAAAGAATTAAAAGCAAAGACTCAAATAGACAACGTATGCAACAAGGTTCATAGCAGCATTTTTTTTTAAGATTTTCTATTTATTTATTGATAGAGAGAGAGAATGGAAGAGAGAGAACATGAGAGGGAAGAAGGTCAGAGGGAGAGGCAGACTCCCTGCTGAGCAGGGAGCCCGATGCGGGACTCGATCCTGGGACTACAGGATCATGATCTGAGCCAAAGGCAGTCGCTTAACCGACTGAGCCACCCAGGCGCCCTTTAGCAGCATTATTCTTAATAGTAAAAAGGTGAAACCACCCCAAATGTCCATGACAGATAAATGAATATCAAAATGTGATACACATAATGAAGTATTCAGCCTTAAAAAGGAATGAAATTGATACATGCGACAACATGGATGAACCTTAGAAACGTTATGGAAAGTGAAATAAGCTGGACACGAAAAGACGAATATCCTATGACCCCACTGATACGAAGACCTAGAATAAGCAAATTCGTAGACTGAAAACAGAGGTTACCAGGGGCAGGGAGGAATGGAGTTATTGTTTCATGGATAGTTTGGGATGAGAAAGTTCTGGAAATGGATAGTGGTGATGGTTGCACAATGTGAATGTACTTAATTCAACTCATACTTAACAGATGGTTAAATAGGAAATTTTGTACTTTTCTGCAATTAAAAAGTGAGTTAATGTTTGTAACACATACATGAAAAATATTATGGAAGGGGTTTAAGTAAATGGGGGTATAGATAAAACAAAATTGACCATGAGTTGAAAATGTTGAAATGGTGATGGGTACATGGGAGTTCATTAGAATAGTTTCCCTATTTTTTTTTTTTTTAATTTATTTGAGAGACAGCGAGCAAGCATGAGTCAGGTGAGGGACAGAGGGAGCAGCAGACTCTCGCTGAGCAGGGAGCCCAATGTGGGGCTCAATCCCAGGACCCCAGGATCATGACCTGAGCTGAAGGGAGATGGTTAACCGACTGAGCCACCCAGGCACCCCATTTTCTCTATTTTTGTATACATTTGGAAATTCCCGTAACAGAGTTTAGAATATCTGATACTGAAAAAAAATTTAAGAACACAGTAAATTAGTAGTGGGAAGTGAAACTATTGGTTAAGAGTGATTACAGTGAATAGCGGGTAATACTAGGATTACATATTTTATAACATGATCATGTATTATAATGACTACTTAATGATATATAATAAGTTATTGTGCTAGACCCCTGTATTTCTCTACCAGGAAGAGGTAACAGGTGTAGTTATGAGACTGTCACTTCTCTTGCTGTTGGCTGGTTAGTCAACTCACACCCCTGGAACTCAGAACTCAGGATCTCATAGCAAGTTTCCATTCCACAGTCTGTGAACACCTCTCCCCTGGAACGATCTGCCAAAGGTCATACGGCAAACCGGCAATGCTCTGCAGTAGCTCAGCTGCCTCCATGCGCACCACATTATAAACACAAACTGCTTTAAGTCGGCCTTGCTTTAGATCACAGTACTGACTTTCAAAACATTGGCCACAACTATCAACAACATTTACCAGGAAACCCATGGGAGATAGGAAGGCTGCTGACTCACATACTTGGTGAACATAAGCACCATTACATTTTGTTACGAAGATTACAGCCGAATTCTGGATAGTTGCACATGGTGAAGACACTCATAATCTAAGTATTAGTCAGGTTGGGGTAAAAGTTATTTTGAGTCTTATTTAAACTTGTTCTATATATTGTTACCATGATACTGAGTCCTGACTGCTTTGCAAGAAATTAACAAGGAAGCCTGGGGTTAAACTTGTACATGTGGAAGTAGGCAACTGCATTTACTCACAACTTATATTAGGTTTGTGTACAAAACTTACTGGACTTGTGACTCACACTCCAGTTTTAGAAGAGCTGATTCATTCTCTGTGACTGTACTCGTTTAATAACCATCTGTGTCTGAATGGCTTGATTTACCAAGACTCTCTCCTCTGATCTTGACTTTCTCCCTATAGGCCAGGATATGGAAATTAACTGTGATCACAAAATTTAATTCTAAATATCATATATAGATAGATAGATAGATAAGATAGATAGATAGATGACAGATGTCCTTCTACACCAGATGGATATTAATGGCATTCCTTTTCTGAACTGTGGCCAATGTCCAAAAGACAAATATATGGAAAAACATGAATCCAGTGGGTCTCTCACTCCTCTCCAGTATTTATGAGACAGTGTACAAAGTAAGATTTAACCTACTGTGAATTTTCTGAAAGCTAGTTGTCTGGGTGGTGTTTGTTGCTACATTAGCACAGGTTTTTAGCTTCTTTAAAACACTTAAGACAAAGAACCCAATAGAAAAGAATAAACAAACAATATGATGTAGTACACAGAAAAAGAAATTACAATGGACAATAAAACATGAAAGCATGTTCAACTGAGACCAAGAATGCAGGCTGTCATTTCTTCACATGTCAGATTAGTAAATTTGATGGAGAGAGAGAGGAAAAAAACACACTCATACGTTTCTTTTTCATAGGAGTTTAAATTCATTTTGGCATGGTAACATTTATTAAAAGTTACATAGCACACACTCTTTGACCTATCAATATTCACTGCAAAGAATTTACACTCTGGGTATACTTGTAAAAGTGTGTGTGGTGTCTATTAATTCTCACAGTAGCATATTTTGTAATGTCAAAACATGAGAAATAAATGAGTGCTAGGAGAAGATGCAGATCATAGACTGTTACCAAACCTGTTCAAAAAAGTAACATGGAAATGTCAAGATCACCAATTATACGGTGTACCACCTTTGTGAAAACTTGAGATACAAATATATAATCAAATATAAAGATATAAAATGAATGCATATATATGAATGTGTATATGTATGCAGCTAATATTTTCTGGAAGGACATACAAAAAGCAATAGTGGTTAACTTTAGGGAAGCAGTAGGTAAGTCTTTTCACTTTATACCATTCTGTCCCATTTACATTTCTAACTTGGGCACCAACTATGCTTCCCTTTTCCCCTCCTTGCTCGCCCCAGTGAGAAATAAGCCATGCAAATCCCGTGTTTGTTTCAGGAGCCAACTGAGTTCAACATTTGTAAACACTCATCACAGGAAGGTAAAGATCAATGGTTCTCAGCTCTGATGGCACACTGGGAGGCCTTAAAAAAATACTGGTATCTGGGCCCAAACCCAGAGTCTGACTTAATTAGTACAGGGTACATCCTTGCATGGGGAGTCCTAAAAACTCCCCAGGTGATTCTAATAGACAGCCAGGGGTGAAAACCACCAGATGTATCACTTTAATTATTCTCCAATGATAAATAATGAACTAATGGGCTGTTGATCGCAAGAATTAAGTGTCTGAGGCTATGGGCAGAGTCCCCAGCAGTACCTGCCTACATTAAGAATTCGAGGCCCAAATAAAAGACACAACAATATGCCCCACACCACTCCTGCTGCGTGAATGCTTTGCTAATTACAGTGGGTCCTGTTTGCAGGGATTGTGGACTATTGCTGGTTTACTTCCTCATACTGTTTTTGTTTTTATTTTTTTTTAATATATATATAAAAGATTTTATTCATTTATTTGACAGAGAGAGACACAGTGAGAGAGGGAACACAAGCAGGGGGAGTGGGAGAGGGAGAAGCAGGCTTCCCGCGGAGCGGGGAGCCCGATGCGGGGCTCGATCCCAGGACCCTGGGACCATGACCTGAGCCGAAGGCAGACGCTCAACGACTGAGCCAACCAGGTGCCCCGTTTTTGTTTTTAAAGTAATGATTAGTTTAAACACCACTGTGTTCCCATTAGCCTTTTACAAATTTAACTTACCAACAAAAGATAGATATCTCTACGTAAATATGATATATACATGAAAGCCCACGTTGTTGTTAAATTCTGTTAGCTCCATTTTCAAAGAATCATATCTTGGCAATATTTTCTTAAAGGGTGAAGAATATGTTAAGTACTTCCAAAGAATCAATTTAGCAAGCAAATTTACTAATCCTATGACTAACTTTCCCATTAAAAGCAAGGTAACAGCCATATAAAATATGTATTTTTGCAAGAATATAGCTGACCCAAAGGAAGGGAAAAATAGCAAATTCCAGAAAGAACTGCTACATAAATATTCACAAACTTAGACATGCTATACATTGCTGCTATCATTTAAGCAAGGTTTCTTTAGGCTAAATGATTTACAGAGTCTCTTCTTGAGTGTAAAATACATGTACACACGCACGCACGCACACACTCTCTCAAGATGAGCTCAGTTTTTAGAGTCTTAATGGAAACAATCTTGGTCTCCTAAATAGAACTTGTAATTAATATAGATTTTAAAATGAGCTCAACTTGAGGGTCCTTCAATGGACAGTTTTAGTTTCCAAAATATAATCTGAATATAGAATTCTTTAAAAGTAGTATCTGAAGAGTTAGCCATCATATATATTTTTATTTTATTACAAGATATTTTAAAATTTGGGCAGATACAATTAGGACAGAAAACCAGCTTCATACCAAAAATACACTTTCAATTACTTTATCAAGCAAATAAAAACAACCTTCATTTATTTGCTTTTTCTAGAAGTTAATGTACAGTAAAAATTTAATATTGTATATGAAAGACATGTAATTAAGCATACATACAAAAGAAACATGTATTGAATGTTCAGAAACAAAAGTAAAAATAAATAGCAATGATAAAACTTTGAAAAAAAATAATGCACATTTCAGTTGTGGAAAATATGATTCTTAATTATATATACATCGTTATACTTAATAGAAAGCCATCTCTTTAAAATTGCACAAACAAGGGACCAATAAAGCATAATTTTTATGGCATGTAATACTATAATCCTAGGGCAGTTTGCTGCTTACCTCCAGGACATAAAACACTTAGCTCTGTAATATAATGAAAAGTATACTGTACTGTTTGAGAAAGATTGTCTTCCTCAACTCTCATTAACCTGTAGTAATCCTACAAAAGGCTGTACAGGAAATTTCACAAAAAGAAATATTAAACAATTACTGTGCCCATTCCATGCTGAAGAAGCAGCCAAAAATGGGCTTCAAAGTAAACGTGGTGGGACATTTAATATTTCTGATGCTTTTTTATACTAAAGATCATTTCTTTGTTCTATAAAAACACTGCGTTTAACTATGATTGGCAATCTCAGCACAAGGAAAATCCTGATAAAATGGTTGGAGAGTTTCTGCTTACCTTGTTTCCATGAATAAAATATTTCAGGAGATAAGAATTTATAGAAAAGAAACATTAATGTTCAATTCACTTACAACTTATCAGGAGCATAATTCCATTTTTTAAAAACTTTTCTGTAAGAAAATCAAAGGTAACATTTCCATCTGTATTATGGCACGGCCCTCACTTCAGAGAAAAATACACTTTAGGAACCAGAAAAAATTGCACAAAGGTTAGGGGCAACCTGAAAAGCTCTTGGTGAAAAACACTTAAGTCCTCTAGGGTAATAAAAAAATATGTGCAGACTTAATTACAAGTATTTACACTTCAAAACATAATCATGAGTTAGCTGTTCAGCCGTTCAGTAAGAATGATTCTCAGGCATTTCAAAAGGTGTGGTAAGTGTGCCCACAGTACTTGGGACCACACTTGAATGCATAGAATACAGTAAAGATTACGGTTCTTCAGTCTGTCACTTGTCATATCCATAAAACAAAAGTGTTTCCATTCTGAAAGCTATACAACCACAGGACTGAGCAAATATTTTCATTATCTCACTTAAAATAGACTTTAAGTACTACTGATTTCACTCATTTGTTCGACAACTTGTCCTAAAATTTCATCAACCACATCAACGTCATAATTCACTTGCTGAAGATCGAGATCAGGTACAATCATGGCCAACAGCTGTCCTACGTTAACTCGAAGAGATCGAAGTTTGAGGCTGCAAATACAAATATTATGTCTATTAGATGAACATTATAGCACAGTTTAATATTCATGTGGAGCCTAATATTTAAGTGAAACATGAATTCACCTACTTTAATAATCCATAATTTAACTTAATAATTATGAATCTCTTGGTAAGTAGAGTGTTTCATAAAACTAGTGGCTCTGTGTGGTTCTAACTAAAACAATTTTAACTTGCTATTGGAGAAATCATGGACTGGTAAAATACATATAATTACAAGGTGTTATTTATAATATAAAATACTGTCACCTGGAAAACAGCAGTGATATACTAGTGAGAACAGTGGTCTCAGAATAAGAATGCATCTCCCTGAATTTCAGCTTTTGAGGAAAATAAAAACTGAACTGTTCTCTAAAACGTGTTCTATGAGATATCCACCCTTGTGTTAAAGAGAAACAGTTCTGTGGTCAAATAAGCTTACAAAATTTTGGGCTAAATAATGTTAAACAGTTTTTAAAATCAAGACTTCTCTGAACCTTTCATATGCTAAAGTTCACTGATGATCCATTTTACTATTCATTTATAGGGAATGGTGCTTTGCTGAAAACACTGGGAATCCCTGGATTAAATGGTCATTATCATTCCTTCCAAATTTATATACATGTATCTGAATATCAACATCCTAGACTTTTTTTTTTTTTTAAGTGGGCTCCATACTAGGCTAGGTGGGACCCAAATTCATGACCCTGAGATCAAGACCTGAGTTGAGATCAAAAGTCAGATGTTCAACCAACTGAGCCACCCAGGTACCCCCAACATCCTAGACTTTTTGAAGACTTACAACTATTCAGCAGCCTCTGCTTCAAAGATCGAGTGAAACATGGGAACTGAATGTTAGTTGCTCTTATTCTGCCTCTCTCCCAAATATAAACAGCCCACGTTTAGCTTAGATACTGATCTAAGGTGGAAATGTCTGAAGAGGCAAGATGCTCATCCCTAAGTTGACAATCCACAGTAAGGTGATTTAAAACATGTTTTGTAAACTTGGATTGTAAGATTCCATTGGCCCCTGGATAAAATTTTACATCATTTCCACTCCAGCCATTTTTTGTCCAAGCTTCCTCACTCACCTTTGACCAGAGGCCCATGGTTCAAACACTTTTCTGCTTTGCTTTCCAGAAGTTGTTTACCATCCTATATCCTTAGCAAGAATGTCCCCTTTGTTGTAACCACAACCTTTTATCTATATGAAAAGTACATAAAACACTAGTATGACCCAATGATTCTCTTAACATCTCCTTTCCTTTAAGTCTTCTGATTGTCCCTGGCTAATTTCTACTATCTACTGGACCTGCCACAGATTCTTAATGTACAGAACAGCACTGTCCAAGAGAAATACTGCAAGCTCCATATGCAGTTTAAAATGTTCACATAGCCACGATAAAAAGCAAAATGCAGCTGTAAATTTAATTTTAGTTATATATTTAACCCAATGTTAACTAAAATACTGTATCATCACAAAATCAAAATACATTATTAATGAGGCATTTTACATTCTTTTTCTTACTAATAAGGCTTCAAAATTTTATTTATTTTATACTTAAAGCACATCTCAATTCAGACTAGATTTCAAGTATCAATAGCCACATATTCCTATACTGTTTTAGAAAGCAAGCACAGGGGTATCGGTTAAAATAAATAAAATAATCAATCGATCATCAGTTACCCAAAGGTCAGTGTGCAAGAGAATTATCTGAGACTGTTTAAAAGTTTCCAATTTAATAAGCTGTACTGTAGGCCAAGGATCTGCATTTCTACAAGCGCCACAGATGCTTGTGGTTCCCCTTTTGAGAAACACCACTTGGGATGTTCTTCTGACCTTAGCCTTCTAGGCTTTTATGTACTGCTCTACTCCATTTCCAAGAACAGATTTACAGAAATCCTTCAAAAACTTAACTTAAAAAACAAGGTAATAATATAATTGATGTCAAGTAAGGATGGTAGGAGATTATTTCTCAACAACAGTGCCTTTTAGGTCTGAAGTCATAACTGTATGAGCAGGAAGAGTTGCCCAGTTTTAGCCTTTAATAGCTACTTCCAGATGGTAAGTCATCAACACACCACGAGCACCATCATCCCCTCCCACCTGAATGTCTGCCTCCCCCATGCTCAAAACCGAAACAAAACCCCAAGCCCATTTTATATCTTACTGAGATAGGGTAATCATTCATTTACTATTTTCTTATTTTCACAGAGGAACTTCTTCCTAGTTATCACCTGTACTATGGCAATTTCTAGTAATTTTGTGATTACCTAAAAGTTAACACTGGGGATGGCATGTAGTAAAATGAGGACAGAAAACCATAAAGAAATGGCAAGTACAAAGTAAATCCAGGTGAAAAAGTACGTTTCATGAAATATTCCTTTGTCTTCTAGTCATGGCCAAATTCACCACCACCTTTGATATCTAACTCAATTTCCACTTTTCCCCAAACAGCATTCCAAACCACTCTGACTGATCAAGTGCTTTATTCTTTCCAAATTCCTATTTCACTTAAGTTGAACCTAAACTGTTCATTCCTTGAAGGGAAGGATCGTGTTCTTTTGATAGAACAGTATCTGTTCGAGGTGTGCTACCAAGTATCATGCAAACCAGAAGGTAGCCCCAGAGTCCTGCCTCATGTAATATTACCTTTCCCCGTCACATGTAATATTACCTTTCCCCGTCAGTATAATTTACAGACTCCTCAATGTTACTTGAAGTTGAAACATCTGCTCCTAACTGTTGATTTGTAGATTTTAATTGTTCAATTTCAGTTTTCAGTTCTTCACATTGTGAACGGATTTGTGACTTTTCCATTTCCAATAATTCAACCTGACAAAAAAATTCATAACTGTAAAATTAAATTTAAAAATTAAAAATACTAATAAAAATAAAACTTAAAAATACTAATGCTAAAATGAAACTTAAAAATACCAATGCCAAAGTACAAATTTGCTAAGAAATATAGATAATCCTGCTTGATGAAAATTACCATCAAAAAAGGGGAAAAAACCACCCACAATAGCTTTCTATAAACAAAGCTTCATTTTAGTTTCACCTCCACATCTTGTCACATTCAAAGAATACGAAATGTTAAATACCGCTTGACTGAAAACAAATGGTACCTAAAAACTGGAAAACCAAGATAAAAATGCCTAAATTATGTCGACGTCAAAGTGGCTTTCATTTCTTGTACTCACCAGCTCTAAGTTGTAACCGTAAGCTTGTACTGATTTTTATATATTCTGTCATCTAACTCTAAGCCAATACATCAAGATGAATGTATTGTGGATATATGGATGAGCTGTTATGTCAGCATTATTTCCAGGAAGAAAGGGGCAGTACAGCACCATCCTGTTGTTTCCAAATTCTTTAGCAGAAAAACCCTTCTTTCAAACACATTAATACAATATATAAAATACATGTTTCTAAAAGGAGCTCTCTAAATCTGAATGGAGAATATATGCAGAGCCTACCACCTATCTCCTGATGTCTACCACTTTTCTCCTTCTGCCTCAGTAGAAGAACCCCTGAATAAAGACTACACTTCCAAAGCACCCATTAGTCAGGTGACTAAGTGCTGACAGGTGGAATATCAGCAAATTTGAGGAACTGCACTCCTCTTCTTTGCTGCTGCTTGGAACACAGATCTACGAGGACGGGACCTGGAGGCCGCCTCGGACCACAATGGCACGCTGAGAAGCGAAGCCAACAACGCAGGAGCCTGTTGTCTCGGACACCCATGGACCTGCCACGGCACTACGGTGTTTTTGGTCACCTGCCAACAAATCTAATCGTGACTAATACAGGGTGCATCTATAAAATGAGGACATCACCTACCTTGTATGTTTATTGCAAGGCCTATTAATAATGGATGTGATGTTCCCTATATTTAGCAACTGACTGGCTTGCTGGGAACGAGAACAGTATTTTGAGCAGGATAATCCTTCATTACACAGCAATTTCCAGTACGCTACAGGAAACCACCATACCTGGTCACCACCCATTAAATTTTAGCAATGCCCAACTCCTCAACACATATTTCCATACACCCCCAGGATGACCACTCCCCAGCTGAGAAGCAGCAGGACAATACATGGAAATACTACTAAGTAATTTATTCCAATCTAGCAACTGGCAGTTCTTTGTGGTTCAGACTCTCTGGGACGCCCAAGGACTCTCATTATGCGGAATGATACACTCACCTCACTTTTATACTGGTCCCTCTCCACAGTGCACTTGTCCAGCTGTCTAAACACATCGTCAAGCTGCACAACCATTTCGTCCACTTCACTTTTGCTCTCACTACTGGCACACTGACTGCATTCGGCCTTCACATGCTGCAAAGCACTACACTGTTTCTTCAGCCTTTCTATTTCCTCCAAAGCTTGCCGATACTGAGATACCACATGGTCTGGACTTTCAGATTTGCCATTAATACTTTCCAGTAAAAATACAGCATCAGTTTCAGTAGACTGATGGCAAGTTTCCTTCTTCACGTATTTGTCGTTCATTTCCAGTATCCTCTGCTGTAACACTTTGATTTGGTCAGTAAACACATTACACTGTCTTTTATAATTTTCTTTTTCTTGGGTAACTAGAAGCAGCTCATTTCTCAGTTCATTTAGCTGGCAACTAGCATCACCCGCAGATTTATCAAAAGTGTCCTGGGTTTCCTGTGCCTTCCCTTCAGCTTCCACACAGGCTGGCGGCACGGCTGCATCATTTCGTGCGTCTATCTCATCTTCAAGTGCCTCTTCCTTTTTAACAACTACACTCGGGGCTTCAGTCTGGGTGGCCGCAGTGGTTCCCTGATCACACCTGGATGATGAGACGCCTGATGAACCAGTCAGGGCACAAGGTTCCTTATCAGCCAGAGGCTCAACCTGATGACCACTTTGCTCGATGTGACTCTGTTCTGATTTCACTTCAATGTCATGATCTACTGCAGGTTTGGGAGTACTGTTTTCTTCTAAGATGATGACATCTTCATCATCATCATCTTTATAAGCTGAATTTTCAAATGCTTGATTACTCAATCTCCGAGTCTTTGCATTCAAAATGGACGAACGAGTAGAAAGTCTTCGTTTCAGGCTGGAAAAAAATTTAATATATAAAATATAAGACTATAAAATATAGAAATGAACAAAATAGACGACTTGAAGCAATCTATCTTGAAATTCTAAGAAATATCCATGCTCATTTAAAAAAATGTTTAACACAGCACTGCTCAATGATTTAATGAAGTAGAGACGATTTTCTCCTGTACAGCTGAGGAAACAATTAGACTACTTCGCTTGCCTTAAAGTAGGAGCTCTGCATACTGCCACAAATCCCTTCACTTGATGTCCTCTGGGCACCTCAACATATACACAGCCAAATGGGAATGCCACCCCCCCCCAGGTCTGCTCCTTGCATTCCAGCGCTCAGTGAATGGCTGTGCCCTTCCAGTTTGCTGTCATTTTTATCAGTGCTCGATGATCAGAAGTGAGCCACAAACTAAACCAGCATGCCCTCCCCTTCGGTTTTCCTGGCATTAAAAACTGCCTCATTTTCCTCATCGACTCAGTTTTCTGTGAATTTACCACCAACTGATACTATTTGCTCCCTCTCAGCGGGTTATCTACTGGTTTGTTGTTTAGGCCCTAGGTGTTAGCCCTCCTATTTCCTCCATCTCAGGAAAGGTTCTTCTGGTTCTTGGCTTTACTCCCTCATATTGAGGGGACATAGTCTTCAATAAAATCTTGAGAAACAGTACACAGGACATAAAAAAATGTGAAAGGTTACATGAAAGTATCTTTATTCACTTCTCAATTTTATTGCTGGCTTGGTTTCTATATAGGCTTCCAGGTTGGAAATTACTTTCTCAAAACGTTAAAAGCATCATTTCATTGTTATGTACCATTTGGTGTTCCTGCCATTCTGATTCCTGATCTTTTTGAAGGTAACTTGTGTTTTCTCTCCCTGAAAAAATTATTTTCCCTGGTGTTCGAAAATTTCATGTTTCTTAGATTGGATCTTTTTCCAGACATTTTTGCTGTGTGTTTACTGGAAGTTAAGTCATACTATTTCCTCCCCTTTGTTTTCTCTGATCTCTCATTCTGAAATTCCCTTATTTAGATGTTGGCCCTCCTGTACCTTGTCTTTTCCTTTTTCTACCCTCTACCTGCTTATCTTTTCTAAGAAACGTGTTTGTTCCACACCTACCCACCTCCCAGTAAATTTCACAGGGCTTCCTCTACTCCCTTTGTTTCAGTTTATACTCCTGGTGATCTCTGCCTATCTTTATGTTTCAGGGTGAGACCGACTAGAAGCAGTGAGGGCTGGCTCTGTGGTGCCAGGGGTGCTCAAACTGTCAGCACCACCCAGGGCTTTTCCCCTGGGGGCCCAATGAGGGGAAGGGGGAGGATTTCTCATCATTTAGTACTCACTTTCCCTTACTCCTCCTCTTTCAAAAAAGTGGCTCAACCACATCTTCAGCAGTGAAATTGCTCCAGAAGGAAAACATCCTACCTTCTGACAGAGGATAAGCCACGTTGCCAGACCTGGCAGGTTATGAAGAGGTTTAGAGAACTACTCTTCCTTAAACTCTCAAACAAGCCTCCTGTTCTCACCCATTTTCTGCCTTAAGAAATGCTTCCGAGTTTGGAGCACGCCTGGGGTTCCATGGAGTTAATCACTTAACCGGGAGCTGCCCTATTATTTTTCTTATGAAGCTAATTCCTATTTGTCTTTCTGAAGACTTAGTTTAGGAACACCTTTCCAGTCTTTGGCTTTATTTTTAAAGCTTATATTAAAAAAAAAAAAAAAAGCTTGTATTTTTCTCAAACTTCAAATTCTTCAGGCTTTAAAAATTAATAAAAAATTTCTCTATTCTCTTCTTCCACTTGGATGGAATAAATCACTTCAAAGAATAAATTTCAGGGGCACCTGGGTGGCTCAGTCGGTTAAGCGTAGTACTCTGGATTTCGGCTCATGTCATGATCTCAGGGTTGTGAGATTGAGCCCCCCGCAGGGCTCACACTGGGCGTGTTGCCTGTTTGAGATTCTCTCTCTCTCCCCCCCCCCCTCCCCCCCTCCCCCCAAAAAAAAAAAAAAAAAAAGAATAAGTTCCATTATCTTTTATCTGTAAACTTTACAGATTTCACTTTTTCTTACTTTGTTTGGAACCATCTTTAAGAAGAAAAGCCAAGAACATTAAGGAGACTATTTTTAAAAAATACACACAAATTCTTAGTTGAGTAGCAATCCAGCCCCAAAAATGCAGGCCACAAACAGCCTAAACTATTTTAGAACATGCCCTCCCGATGTACATATGCATGCAAACAGTTATTTCTAATCCTTTTGGAGGTCAAAAATCCCTTTGAGAATTTAATGAAGGCTATAAAACCGCTCAGAAAATCCCATCCCACTATCTCTGGGAACCTGGTTTCAACGTTTATCTTTCAACAAAAAAGACCAAGTGTAGTTCAGTCTGATCCCCTAGTTCACTGACATCATGTTTTCTTCTTCACCTGTATTCTATTCTATTCCCTCTGAATGGCTACCAGCACAGAGTATTGCTTTCAGAATTTCAGGAACCAAACCAAGCACTATCTCATCCCAAACCTTCCCTGACCATTCCAGTCAAGAGAGCTAACTGTCCAATTTACCTATCACTCATACCTTTCTTTCTCCCTTCCTTCTTCATCCACTCATCCAAAATAAATAGCCTGCCACGAGCTAAGAACTCATGGGTCACACTTGACATTATAGTTCTGTACAATTAATTGCTTTATGTTTTTCTTAAGATACTGGTAATTTTAAAAGCAGGAATTTTCCTATTATACAGAATTTCAAAGAGGTTAAAATTTGATCAAATTCCACAATGAATACAACTGATATTTTAAAAACTGATTTAAATGGTGGCATGAGTGGGGTGGGGTAGGTTTAGATAATAAAAGTAAATTAACTAGGGGCGCCTGGGTGGCTCAGTTGGTTAAGCATCTGCCTTCGGCTCGGGTCATGATCCCAGGGTCCTGGGATTGAGCCCCGCTTCGGCTCCCTGCTCAGTGGGAAGCCTGCTTCTCCCTCTCCCTCTGTCTGCTGCTCCCCCTGTATATAAACAAAAATAAAAAAAAAAAAAAAAAAAAAAAAAGTAAATTAACTTAGGTGGCTCAGTTGATTAAGCGACTGCCTTCGGCTTGGGTCATGATCCTGGAGTCCCGGGATCGAGTCCCGAATCGGGCTCCCTGCTTGGCAGGGAGTCTGCTTCTCCCTCTGACTCTCCCCCCTCTCATGTGCTCTCTCTCTCATTCTCGCTCTCTCAAATAAATAAAATCTTAAAAAAAAGTAAGTTAACTTATCCTTAAGACTTTTTACATGCATATATAAACTATAACTTCTTAGAAGTGCATTACTGCCATGAAAGTGTCAAGTAAAGGCTCTGCTTAATATTCCCCATTGGAAAAATACATTTTAGCCACTGACTTGTTGCTTTCAGGTTCAGACTGAGGTGAACCTCGATGATTATTTATAAGTCTTGTTGCGTAAGTATTTGCCACTTCTGAAAGATGTCCTCTTGGAACACTTTCCTTCACAGGAGGAAAGCTTTGACCTGACACGGGGGTTGTCCGAAACAAGAGTTCAGCATTAATCTGTTGGAAGAAAAAAAATCAATTTTAAAGGACTTAATGTGCCATGCCCCAAAACAGGAGATATTATTTTCCCTTTGCCCTGTATCCCAGAAAACATTGAGAACTATCCTAATCATGTAAAATTCTTTAGGCTATACCAGAGAGCCACTAACAGGCCAATAAGCCAAATCCAACCTGCAAGTGAGTGGAAAAATGGTTGTGTATTTTTAAAGGTGTAAACAAAACAACAGAACAAAGAATACACAACACAGACTGCATACGTGGCCCACAAAGCCTAAAATACTTACTACCTGGTCTTGTATAGCAAGATTTACTGACCCTGTACTATATAGAACCTAATGAAATACAATTAACTTATTTTTCTCAAAGAAAGAAACAGAAAATAAAGTCAAAGATACTGCCTTTAGAATAAGTAAGCCCACTATTCTTTTTCACCCAGTTTTGTTCTCACCTCCAAACCCTCAGCCTTTGCCATAAGAAAACATTTCAATGTAACTAAAAGCAAACATACACATCTGCAGCAGACCAAACTTCCTTACAAAAGAAGTACAACTACCTACCCATATACTCCGAAAAAGCTCCTTAACACCATTAAGCACTAAGAAAGTGGTCAACAAAGAGAAAAACACTGTAGCTTTAGTCCAGGTTAGTACCAGAACATGGCTCCCCAGGGCTTCCTGTGAATTTTTCCTTAACTGCCTATGTGACAGTAAGATTCATCATTTTTTTTCTCTTTTTTTTTTTTAGAGGGGGAGGAGCAGAGGGAAAGGGAGATGGGGAGAGAGAATCCCAAGCAGGCTCCACGCCCTGCAGAGAGCCCGACTTGGAGCTCCATCTCACAACCCTGCGACCACCTAAGCCAAAATCAAGAGACGCTTAACTGAATGAGCCACCCAGGTGCCTGGGTGGTAAGATTCTTAATGCCTGCCTTTCCTCAGAAGATGCCCAACTAAATAATAAAACTGAACAGTTTGAATGAAGTTGTTGGGCTAGGAAGGAAGGCAAGAAAGGATATAAGAAAAGGAGTATGTGAACTGAATGAACAAAATCACCTCAATTTGTTATGTAACTCCTAAGCTTTAAAACTATTTGTTAAAGTAGCCACTACCCAATATAATACACAGCTATAAAATGCAAGGTTTCATTAATTACCCGAGGGATCATTTCCGGTTGTCTGATCCTGAATTTTTCCTTGTCTCTTAAAAAAAAAAGAAAGAAAAGTGAACATATTTAAACTTAATTACTTTTCACTGTTTCTCAATGACATACTTGGCATTTCACTACAGAGTCACTCAGATATGTACACTGAACTCTGCTTCAATTTCATTTGTAAGCCTTTAGGAGCGAAATACTTTCTCCCTCTTACCTCAGTAATGCCCAATGTCTGCCTTAAGCTTTGCACCCTCACCAGCATTATTCTCAGACGTCTGAGCTGGAACATCACACAGGCTTCTAACTGGTCTCTTTACTCACAGTTCTGCTGCTGGATTTATCTTCAAAAACCGTGCACTCTACATCAAAACCACCTGGAAGTTCTGCATGCACTCGGCCTGTGTGTGTGGACAGTAGCCTACAGTTCACCAGGGCTGACTATCCTTCATTACCCAGCTTCTCCCTCCCTCCTCTATTTTCCATCATGCCCATTCATGTGTTTGCTCTAAAGCTGAACAAATCAGTTTCCTGTACATTTGCATCTAACCCACCCTTCAAGGCCCATTACACAAATACCCTTCATGAATTTTCCTGATCCAGATTTCCCTTCCCATCCCCAGCCAGAAGTCATTTCTCCTTACGGCTTCCCAAGAGGACTGGACCCTGCCCTCTACAGTACTCATCAACTTCTCATCGGCAACGCACATGTCTCACCTTCCCTGCTAAGGCTATAAACTCCTATCAGGCATTACTCATTTATGACTCATCTGTGTGTGGCCCAAACAACCAAACTATTCTGCGTGCACACTACCTTGCAGACAGGACAGGATAAACAGCAAGTGAAAAAAGAGCAGGCATCCACAGTATAAAGTTAAAACAACAACAAAAGCATCCGGTATTAGGCATCCACATCAAAATCTTTTCTGGGGTCATAATCTTTTCTGGGTTGTACTAGCTTGATCTTGGAGAAGCATCCAATTAATGCTGCACACCCATCACTGTTAATAAATTGAGCATTATTTCCCCACCAAACACTAATACAATACTCACTTCTTTTTGTAGGTTTTTTCATAAGTAGGATGCACCAAATCCTCATCTTCAGGTTCTTCTGGAACATCACAATTTCTAGTCAGAAAAATCACAGGGGAATAACACGTCACCAGCGCCTATTCATACATCTTGAATAGTACTTTCTGCCTTTCCAAAAAGGGTACTACCAACTATATGGTACCTGAACTGTGGGTCAGGGTTATTGGAGCAATACCATTTTTCTGGAAGCTGATCTATTCCATCTGGTAATTTTCGCCACTTTAGACAGGAATCACATTGAACCCATGTCTGATCGGGACGTTTCCTGTAACAAAACACATAATATTAGTATGAAAATACCATGCAAAGTACACTGCATTAGATCTTCTACATCATTTCTACCGCTAAATGCCTTTATTATTTAATTCTGTTCCTGAAATGCCTGTGACATAATTACTGTTGTACAGCAAGTTAAATTTTTAAAAACAATTTCGGTTACCTTCAAAAGGTTAAAGTTAACAGGCCAATTTAAACAAAGAGACTTAAATGTCTTGTTTAATAGCATACTATTCAATTTGTTCTCTGGTAATAAAAATTCAAACTTAAGATTCCATACGCCTTGCTCTGAAATTTATATTAAATTAGCATTTGCAATGTCCAATCTAGTATATTCATTAGCTCAAGTACAGAAAACAGACAAGCCGCTATTCCTATAATTTAAGCATTTTTAATAATTTTATTACATTTTAGCCTCTACCATAAGTGTATCTCTGAATATCTAAAATTTGTATATTCTTTTAGTTTATAAAATGCTTTAGTTTTATCATTTGAAAATTACAATGATCCTCTGAAGAATTTAGGTATTCATTTAACATTTCACTTAACAATTATTAACAATTCACTGAATATATGAAGACTTCATCTTAATGACAGTAACTTTTTATATCTAAATTTTAAAAAATGCATCTGCATAGTTACATAAACTTGAAACAATCCATAAATTTATTTTTAGAGAGGGGGGAGGAGCAGGAGGAGAGGGAAAGAGAGAATCCCAAGCGGGCTCTATACCCAGTGCAGAGCATGATGCAGGGTTGTCTCACCACCCTGAGATCATGACCTGAGCCGAAATCAAGAGTTGGAGGGTCAAAGTCGGATGTGCTCCAGAAATTCATAAAGTAAATACAAACCCCTTTTTTTAGGAGCTTACCACTGTTCATTTTTTCAAACCCTGGCATAATTTTCTATGCTTGCAGAATTATGCATGTGTATATGGACACTTTAAAAAAAAATAAAGTGGGAAATTAATACACTGAATTGCATCTTTTTTTAAAAAATTTTATTTATTTGACAGAGAGAGACACAGTGAGAGAGGGAACACAAGCAGGGGGAGTGGGAGAGGGAGAAGCAGGCTTCCCGTGGAGCAGGGAGCCCAACGCAGGGCTTGATCCCAGGACCCTGGGATCATGACCCGAGCCGAAGGCAGACGCTTAATGACTGAGCCACCCAGGCACCCCTGAATTGCATCTTTTTTGTTCGTCATTATACATCTTGGTCATCTTTCCATCAGTACACAATGATTATTCATTCATTCACAAAATTGGTACTGTGTGCTATCCTGTTACTGAATGCTTGTTAGGCATATTTTTTAAGTCTTGTAACTGTGGGAGGTGCTACTAATGTTCCCATTTTACAAGTAAAAAAAAAAAAAAAAATGGAAGCTTATAAAAGGCCAAGTAACATGTTCAGTGTCACATCATTATTTAAGCAGAAGTAGAATCTAAATTCAGGTCTGGCTTTAGACTCATTGATCCTATTACACAAGACCAGAGTTTTTCAAACTATGAGATACAACCCATTAGTGGACCATAAAGTCAATTTAATGGGTCAAGACTTACATTTTTTTAAAAGAAATAAGTATCAGCATGCAATGTATGGATAAATACTGCTTCATGAATCTTTTGTGTGTATGTATAAATGTATACATTCACTGGCTCATTTCATGGTGTGCTGATTGGAGTTGTACAATTTACTTTTTCCTCTGGCTTAGTTCAAAGTTTGTGTACCATCACTATACTTCTCCAACATCACATCTTGGTATTGGAGTGGATTGATATTTTTTAATGTACGTACTGAATATCTTCAACTGGCAAATTTAGAGGATATTCTGCATTTTTCTTCACTTTCATCTCATTCCAGTAATCATTCAGCTTTTCTCCTAACGCTGCTATTGTCAGCCTAAAAAAGCAAATCAAAATCAATTTAAGAAAAAAAAAGATAAAGCTTAAATCTTTGTCAAACACAGAAAAAGCACAAACGACTTAGTAAGGATCATGTGGACACTGTGGGGGAGGGGAGGTTGATGACTCCCAAAGGTACTGTTAGTAAAGAATGCTCTAATGGCAATTTTCTACAAGGACACTTTCAAGTTCCCAGAACAGAGCCAGGATCATCTTTGAAGATACAAATAGTAGTATTTCGTGTCCTCTGTTGAGAAAGTATGTTGCAGACCAATTAGTGGGAGAACCACAGGCTCTCTGAATTCCAACCCCAACCGATAAATTTATAAGCTTCAATTCATATTAGAACTCAAACTTTTTTTTTTTAAAGATTTTATTTATTTATCTGACAGAGACAGAGAGACAGAGAGAGAGATAGCGAGAGCAGGAACACAAGCAGGGGGAGTGGGAGGGGGAGAAGCAGGCTTCCCGCCCAGCAGGGAGCCCGATGTGGGGCTCAATCCCTGGGATCATGACCTGAGCCGAAGGCAGACGCTTAACGACTGAGCCACCCAGGCACCCCTAGAACTCAAACTTTAAGTTTATAAAAGTATGCTATCATCACCAGCAAGTATATTTCAAAATAGCTTCTGTCCCACAGTTAAGACTGTCACTTCTTCCCCAATAAGATATTAATAAAAAGCAGATCAGTGGGATCTAAGGCCACACTTAAGTAACCATTTGAGTTAAGCACCTACTCTGCCAGAACTATGCACACAGAAGGTACAGTGTAACATTCTAAATTTAAAATAAGGCTTTCAAATATCAAGACTTCAAATTCTACACTGGCAGATTAATCAGACATTTCTATCCCCACCCGTTATCTCCCACTAATTTTTTCTCCATTATCATATAACATGTAAGTGTCCAAATGAGAATGAATCTTCCTTCCCAAACATATCCTCCCTACATTTCACTAGTCTTCTTCCTCTCATCACCACTATTTCTCAGTCCAAGAGACTGTACCCATTTGTGTTGAGAATATACTGAGGAATGAAACTGCAGGGTCATAGGGGTGGGCACTGATGTTTGGTTTTACTTGATAATCTAACAGTTCTCAAAACTGATCGATTTTCATACCCACCAGCCATGTGCAGGAGCTCCAAATGCTCTACATCTTGCCAACACTGTCTTACTCATTTTAAAAAACTTTTCCATTCTGCCCATTATGATCAATACTTTTTGCATCTTGTTTTATTTTTTTTAAAGATTTTATTTATTTATTTGAGAGAGAGAGAATGAGAGAGAGAGAGCACATGAGGGGGGCAGGGTCTGAGGGAGAAGCAGACTCCCCGCTGAGCAGGGAGCCCGATTTGGGACTCGATCCCGGGACTCCAGGATCATGACCTGAGCCGAAGGCAGTTGCTTAACCAACTGAGCCATCCAGGTGCCCTGCATCTTGTTTTAAAAACTTGCTTAACTAAAGGTTTTTAAAATATTCTTGTTCTCATTTTGTTTTTGTCTTTCTCATTTAGGTCTAAAATCCATCTGGTATCGATTTTTTGCTTCCTTTGATGTAGGAGTCATATTATCCATACAAACAGCCAAATGATCCAGCATTTTTGGAAAGATGATCATCTTCCCACTATACCACGATGTAATCTTTGTCATAAATCAGGTCACCAAACATATAAAAAGTGGGGGGTTATTTCTGGCTTCTCTGTTTCAATAGACTGCTTATCCTTTAATTAATATCACACTTAGTTACCGTAGCTTTACAAGTGTTGGTATTTAGTAGGTTAAGTTTTCTTGCTTTGTGGTTCTTTAATGATTGTCTTAACTATCTTGGGTCTTCTGACTTTCCACATAAAGTTTAGAATAAGCCTATTAATAATATCAACACCCACACAAACTGGCAAGGATTTTTTTTAAAAAACTGGAATTTTATTTAATTGGAGAAAAACTGACATTTTATAATATACAGCCTTCTAATTCTTGAACCTGGTTTGCCTACTTATTTGGGGCTTAAATTTCACTCCATAATATTTCATAGTTTTCAGTGTATATGCCGCATATTTTATTTACTCCAGAGTACTTGATTTTTTTTTACACTTTTCATGAATTTTTTTAAATTTCATGTTCTAGTTTTTAGTTGGTGAACAGAAATACAACTGATTTCTGAATACTTCTTATCCAGCAACCCTAGAATATATATCATTTAACTTGTTCCTTTATTAATTCTAAATGTGCATATTATTCTGGACTTACTATATACTTAATACTATCTTGTACAGAAAAGTTTTATTTCTTCCTTTTCACCCTTATAACTTTTACTTCGTTTTCCTTCCTTATTATACTGATTATTTCCTCAAGAACAATGGTGGATAGCAGGAATCCTTATCTCATTTTCACTGTTAAGGGGAAAGCTATTAATAATTCACCATTAGGAATGATGCTTGGTGTTTCTGTAAATGCTCTGTATTGCTAATATGCCCTTCTATTAATGATTTTCTAAGTGTTCCCTTTTTTCTCCTAAATTACAAATGGGCGGGGTGCCTAGGTTGCTCAAGACTTTGGCTCAGGTCACGTACGCAGGGTCGTAGGATCAAGCCCCACACCCAGCACGGAGCGGGCTTAAGCTTCTCTCTCTCCCTCTCCCTCTGTCCCACCCTACCCCCAACACCCCGCCTCCGCCCCACTCGCTTGTGCGTGTGCTTTCTCTCAAATAAAAAAAAAAAATTACAAATGGGTGTTGTGATTTATCAACTGCTTTTTCTGTACCTATGAAAATAACCATTAAGATTTTTCTTTTCTAACATCAATGTGATGAACTACATTGATTTTTGAATATTAAAACCACCATGTCATTGTGGAATATAATCCAACTGGTTTTAATGTATTATCCTTTTTATATATCACTAGATGGTATTTGCTATTTTAATTAAAATTTTTATATTTTGATCATAAGAGACATAAATCCCTTTCTTGTAATGTATTCACACGTTCACTACCAAAGTTACATGTCCTCATAAAATCTTAAAGATTGTGTAAGATTGGTGCTACTTCCTTCTTAAATGTTTGAATTTAATATGTGGAGAGTTTTCTAAAAATTGATTCAATTATAAAGGAATGTGCCATATCATCTAAGACGGTAAAAAATTGTTCATGCTATTCCTTTGATGTTTTTGCATCTGTCTCCTTTTTGTTTCTGATAGTGACGATTTTCTGTTTTCTCCTTTCTTTCCCCTTTTATTGCCCCTTTACTAATCTTATCAAAGAACAAACTGGGCTTTTTTATTTTTTCAGTTATGAACTTGTCGTCTCTCAGCTCCACACCCAGTCTTCTTTTGCTCAGTTTTGTGATTCTGAAGCTTGATCGTGTAAACATTTACCCTTTGGCAGCCTAAGGAATGCTGAACTGGATTAACAGGTCAATGAACCTGCTAGGTGACAGCAAGACATGTGTCCTTCAGGTTCTGGTATATATTATTATTATTTGGCTGGAGCCCAGTGGCCCCCAGGAGCTCCATCTGTGCTCTCTAACCATGCTCTGCTCTCCAGCAGCCTACAACCTCCAGCAAGAGACCAGTTCCAGTGTGCCCACATCCTTGGGCAAAGACAGGTCTCCTCTACAGAACGGCTCCAGCCCACCCACAGCCTCTGGCAACAGCATGTCACATCTACAGACCAGCACTGGCCAGGCCTTCTTTTGCTGGCAAGAAACTTGCAGGTAGATTGTTCCTACGTTTGTCATGACCGCTACAAGATCTGAGTCTCTGACTTTAGGCGCAGGGGGCCCTCTCCTAGGTCCTAGTCCTCTTTTTCAACCTTGAGGGAATGTTAGTCTTTTATATCTGCTAGTTCTGGGAACCTACTTTTCTCTTTTACCCCTTCTAGTAATCACCCTCTACTATCCTAGTTAATAATTCCTTATATTAAATTATCCCTGTTCAACTAACAGGAGTAGCCTCTGCCTCAGGAGTGAACTCTTGAGTATATACTGATTTTCTCTATTATACGTGATTCCTAATTCATTGATTTTGCTCTTACCTTTATTATTTATTCTACTTTGTTTTTTATTTGAAAAAAAGGGCTTATGACATTATTTTTGTCTTTATCACCAATGTTCACATGCAACTGCATTATGTGCTCATTAAGGAAAAGTGTGCCTCCTAAATCTACAAGTGAAACGGATGGTCATATTCATTCTGTGACTTCTAACCACTCTTAAAAGATCGGAGTATTTCTGTCTAATGTACACAGGACTATATTACCTTCAAGTTCCTATCTAATAAGAACAGTTTCAGAATATTACACAGTAAATATTGACACCAAGAAAGCAGAAATATCCTCTATTTTTACTATAAATCTCAGAAATACTTCATCAATAAAGACAGGGGAGAACAAATTTCTACTGGTAATGGAGTAAAATATAATTCCTAGGTTGGGAGAAGATGGCTAAATGTGTTTTCTATGCAAGCCTACCACCTACCAATTTTCTTAAAGTTCTATAATATAAAAACATCCACAAGACAGAAAAAAAACTCAGCTTAGGAAAAGAGATGAAAGTATTTCCAAAATAAACTAAAAAGTAACTTAAATAGGTAACATACCTGTACTCGTTAGTATAGTCAAAATCTTGTTTATTATGAGTTGGCTTTAAGAAATTACACTCTATAATTCCCACTACTCCAACACCCATATTGTTTGCCTGAAAAAGAAAATGAAATCAATGTTTCAAGCATAAGACATGATGCTCAAAATAATTACCCTTCCACAAAGATTTATAATTTATATGAACCATTTTCCTACATTTTATGTCATGATTCTTATGAAATTTAGATTGAAAAATAGTGTCTCTGGGCACCTGGGTGGCTCAGTCATTAAGCGTCTGCCTTCGGCTCAGGTCATGATCCCAGGGTCTTGGGATTGAGCCCCGCTGCCGGGCTCCTGCTCAGCAGGAAGCCTGCTTCTCCCTCTCCCACTCCCCCTGCTTGTGTTCCCTCTCTCGCTGTCTGTCAAATAAATAAATAAAATCTTTAAAAAAAAGAAAGAAAGAAAGAAAGAAAAATAGTGTCTGGTAGGTATATTTTACTTTTCTAGAAGTTAATTCCTAAATATATTAGAGCCTTCCTCCAAAACCACTTCCACTGTTGTCAAATATCCATTTAGACAAATATTATCACCCCCACTTTTATACAAAAGAAAAAAGACCACCACTACTGGGCTGCATTTCTTAGATAGTAGAAACCACAACTACCTCCTTTCTATATCCACAGTATCTAGCAAAGACCCTAGCAATAATATTCCAAAAGTTTGCTAGATAAAAATTAAAATCATTACCCAAAGTTACACATCCAGTTGCTAATGGTGATGAAGTAAAAACCCAGGTCAGTTGAATTCAAGTTATTTTTAAAACGCTTCTAGCTAAAATATTGAAATCAAAGTATAGGAGTCATATATTCTGATTATATGTGATTAACAAGTGTATTCTGTTCACAATTATAGCTGAGTCTACAAAAGGAAAAAGTGAAAGAAGAGTGAAAATTTTCAGAAATATAGATGAAACCATGCAGATTTAATCGTAATCCCACTCTATTAAAAACCATCCGTGGTTCCTCATCTCAAACCATTAATAAACCACAATACCCTTCAATTTGTAGTTCCTGTTCACTTTCTTTCCAGCCTCATCTTCTTGTCTCTCTCCCAACACTCTCCTGACTTAGTCGCATATGCCCCAAGCAGTTAGCTACTCCCTTAATGAGGTCACATTCTCTGAAGCCTCTTTCCCCTCCTTTGCAGAGATTTTTCTCTGCCTGGAAAACCCTTGCCAGACTTTTCAACACAGTAATATCAACTGAGACTCATCTCAATCACCACTTTCTCCAAGAAGCTTTTTCTGATTCTTCCAACTTGTACCACATTTTCCCCTCACCAGAGCTCTGAGAGCATGCTCTGTATCTTATCATCTTCTTATTCTGAGCATCAAGCACGGCAAAACATACCAGGTATCTGACACTTATTTAGTAACTGTTTACTGAATCCACAGAATGCAAATACTATGCCCAGTCCATCACCTGGTAAAGAAAAACAATGTAAGAGTTGGCTATAAAAGCCCATTTTTAACAAGGTCAAGTTTAACCAGAAATTATACACAATGCAAATTTAACTGGGTTGGAAAAATGGGCTGTGTATCTTAAGTCAGATTCATAAATGATAAAAGAAAAAAATATTTTACATTCTGTTGCAGATACATTGTTTCTTTTGAATCCCAAAGCACTTGAGAAACAACGCTTAATACCAAAAATGCATTTCTAATTTTACCAGTGAAATTCCCTGTAACTCTAATTATAGAATGTGTCTGATGAAAATTACTACTCCAATTATAAACGAAAATTAGCATTTTAAATAAAAGTTATTGACACCTCATATCATGGTTGCCAGATTTCTGTATTTAGTGGTTCTGAAATTAGTGGTTACCAAGAAGAATCCAACAAAGTTTGCTTACTTTTGCGAAAATGCTATATTCTGGGCTCATGTAACAGAGTTACAACCCCTGTTGAGCAAGATTCAAGGTAAACCCACACTATTATACTATGTAGAGCTCACACCGTTCTACAAAGAACTTAGAATGAAACAAGATGAATAGAAGATGAAAACCATAAACTTGGAAAACAAGATATGCCTAGACTTAATACCTTAAACAAACTTCATTTTCAGAATTTATCACTGAATTCTTAACACATACACTCCAAAAAAACCTTTCTGTGAAAACATGTAAAGGATGAACAGACTAGCATAGTGGGCAACGTGCATCATCCTAAATTGAATTCTACAACAATGGAAGTGGTTTAAGAGGAAGGCTCCAATATATTTAGGAATTAACTCCAAAGAAGTAAATCACCTGTATGACCCTGTTTTTCTGGCTAATAAGTCAGGACTAAATAAAACTAACCAACTTCATCCCAAAAATAATCAGGGATCCATACCCAAATACAGTCAAAAGATCTGCATCTGGATCTAAGAACCATACTCATTTTAGGTCTAGGGCAAATTACTTAACTTCTTAGCCCCCATTTCCTCATCTGTAAAACAGAGATGAAATATTCTGTCCCCCTCATAAGATTATCTGGACCAAGCGGGAAATTAATATAAAAGTATTTTAAGTTCAAGTGCCATACCAACATTATTGAACACACTGACATTTAAAAGTCATTAAGCAAAGCATATTATTTCACACTTGACCCAGTAAGATATTTTAACTTTTTATAAAAGATACAGACATTTCAGATATAAAGCTTACCCTTAACTGACATCCAACTTTTTCATAAGCTTTGATGAGCCTATTTCTGTGATACATCATTATCCCATAATGGTCTTTATTTCTGCAGTTGAACCCAAAAGTAATTCTCACCGTTTTAGTCTTAAATGTTAAGGAAAATTCTGAACACACCACCTCACTCCCCCCAAATCATCCTTTCCAAGTCATTTTTTAATGAATCCAAAAGTGTAAAGAAAAAGGCAAAGTTGGAGAGGATGAGACTCCATATCAGGATAGATGGAGAAAGGGGGAAGAGAAATACACTTTACAAATGTATCTTTATACAGCATCATAAAAAGGAAAATAAAGGACACCCGGGTGGCTCAGTCAGTTAAGTGTCTGCCTTCAGCTCAGGTCATGATCCCAGGGTCCTGGGATTGAGTCCTGCATTGGGCTCCTTGCTCAGCAGGGGCCTGCTTCTCCCTCTGCCAGTCGCTCCTCCCGGTCGTGCCCTCCCTCCCTCCTTCCCCCCACCCCCGACAAATAAATAAATAATCTTAAAAAAAAAGGATACTAAAAATTTGGGTCGATAAACATCACGTTCGATGTAGGCAAGACTCTTTGAAACCAGCTGTGTCTTCACTTTCTGTCCACGTAAGATGATCTGCATTCTTGGCTTTAGGTATAATATACTACAGTAAGCCTGCAAAGACACACAACAATATCTGTCCTTTCCAAATAATTACCTACAAATTTGTTCAACATTACTGATATGTGTTATTTAAAAAGAAACCTACCACTTTGCTTTGATAAAGAACCCATGAACTCTTCAACAATATAGACTATAAAGCTGTTATTAGTTAGTATTTGATTGCTTTTCTTTAAAAATATACTCAATATACTATAGCCTAAAAAATGATTTGCAGAAAACAATCTATTGACCTATATGAATATTATGTTATATTACAAATAAAACATTTTAAAGTTACAAAACAGCATGTGATATTTCATTTTAATTTTTAAAAAATGTACGTATGTACAAAAAAAGGACTGTATTTTGACTCTTGTCAAGTATATATATTACTATTGCACTTTAAAAGTAATGATAAATTTTATTTAGGCAAAAATAACAAGCAAAATCTAATATAGACAGAAAGGCCTGTTGTACACCTGAAAAGGAAAATATCATAAATACACCAACACTTAAGCCAAGTAGACAAGCTTAGTATTTTTTAAAAACTGAACTGTAACAATCAGCACTAATCTAAATGTGTTTTCAATTCTTAATGTATGAAAATATAGATACTGGAACGCCTGGGTGGGCTTAGTCAATTAGGCGGCCAACTCTTGATTTTGGCTCAGGTCATGATCTCAGGGTCCTGGGATTGAGGCCTACATAGGCTCCGCACTCAGCAGGGAGTCTGCTTGAGATTCTTTCTCTCTCTCCCTCTGCCCCTCCCCCTGCTCACACATGCACTCTCTCTCTCTCTCTCTCAAATAAATAAATCTTAAAAAAAGGAGGAAAAAAAGTTTAGATACTTTACAATCATTTTTTTTTTTTAAGATTTTATTTATTTATTTGACGGGATGGGGTGGGGAGAGAGAGCACAAGCAGGGGGAACTGCAGGCAGAGGGAGAAGCAGGCTCCCTGCTGAGCAAGGAGCCCGATGCGGGACTCAATCCCAGGACCCTGGGATCATGACTTGAGCTGAAGGCAGACGCTTAACCGACTGAGCCACCCAGGCGCCCTCATATTTTACAATCTTGACTGAAGTCTATATTCTAAAACATGTTAAAAAATAAATATGCTGTTCTATGCCTGCCTCTAAGCCATCATATATCTCTAAAGAAATGAACTGAATAACACAAGGAGAGATGAAGGTTCAACACAAAATTTGAACATTTCTCTTTATTTCCTGATTCCTGATTTCAAAATTAGTGGTGTTTTGTCATTTATAAAATTTATTAACAGTATTTAAAACATTTTACTTCATGGTACACTAAATCCACACCACCTGCTGGGCCTGCCTCTGGACCCGTTTCATAATTAATTGAGCAACATTTTCTTAACAAGTAGGACATACTTCAATAACATTTTGGGGTATGTAACTGCTAGAGTATCAGAAAGTTGTAAATGTGTAAATGTCACATGTATCCTCAACTTGGGGTTATGAATCATCTTAGCACAAAAAAATAAAGGGAAGTTAGTGTTATGTCTTACAGTGACTAAGAAACAATATTCTTACTATATCAACATTTTATTTTTTTTTAAAGATTTTATTTATTTGACAAAGAAAGACACAGCAAGAGAGGGAACACAAGCAAGGGGAGTGGGAGAGGGAGAAGCAGGCTTCCCATCGAGCGGGGAGCCCAATGCGGGGCTTGATCCCAGGATCCCGGGATCATGACCTGAGCCGAAGGCAGACGCTTAACAACTGAGCCACCCAGGCACCCCTATCACATCAACATTTTTAAACTGTATTAATTTCAATCTCAAAAACATTTATTAATAAGGTCAAATGTCAGAGATATTTATCACAAAACTGTATTAATACGTATGATCTGTAGTCTACATTTGCTTTAGGATGTAAATTAAGGTGTTCTAGAATATTTTAATTTTTTTAAAGATTTTATTTATTTATTTGAGAGAGAGAGAATGAGAGATAGAGAGCACGAGAGGGAAGAGGGTCAGAGGGAGAAGCAGACTCCCCGCTGAGCAGGGAGCCCGATGTGGGACTCGATCCCGGGACTCCAGGACCATGACCTGAGCCAAAGTCAGTCGCCCAACCAACTGAGCCACCCAGGCGGCCTAGAATATTTTAAACTAAAAAAGAGAGACACTGAACTTGGTGTTTTTGCCTGAATTAATCAATATGGCTACCATCGGACATACTGATTCTAGAATTCCTAATGCAAATAATCTAACCACCCAGTGAAAAAACAAGTGCTGTTAGACCTGACGACTTTACAATTAAAAAACTTTTCTGAGCAGGGGCACCTGGGTGGCTCAGTCATTGGGCGTCTGACTTCGGCTCAGGTCCTGATTGGGATCGAGCCCAGCATCGGGATCGCTGCTCAGCAGGAAGCCTGCTTCTCCCTCCCCCACTCCCCCTGCTTCTGTTCCCTCTCTCATTGTGTCTCTCTCTGTCAAGTAAATAAATAAAATCTTTAAAAAAACAAAAAAAAATTTTTTGAGCAAATAAAGCAATCAGTGTGCTCATGAAAAGTGAAATAAATTGGTTCCTGTCTGAGATACTTTTACTTAGAGATCACTGACAGCATTTGTAACACAAGTGGATAACACAATTTCCATTATTTGATGATTTTCTCATGTCAAGAAAGAGAGCTGAATACATACCCTCAGGGAATAGTCACTCTCAGGAGCAATTTGGTCCATCCTCTCTTGCTTCTTGTACCCTTTCTTCCCTGTTGTCTCATCTAAATCTTCAGGAATTCTGATGTCATATTTATCCTTATCAAAATCAAACTCCGTTGCATTTTTGTAGCTATAAAAACAATTTTTTGAAAGAGCTAAATTTTAACTTCCCAGCAAGATAAGCAAATATACTTAATTAACAAAACAAAACACCTACCCGTCCTGGTTGGGGGTGAGGGGGGAGACGAAAGCAAGGGAAAAACAAAAGAAAAGGAATCCAGGAAGATGCAGAAAAACTGTATACATTCACACACTGCTGGCGGGAAGTCAAATGGTAGAGCCACTCTGAAAAACATTCTGGCAGTTTCTTAAAAAACGAAACAGGCAACTACCATAGGACCTAGCAATTATACTCTTGGGCATTTATCTTAGAAAAAGAAAGACTATATTTCCACAAAAACCTGTACACAAATGTTTACAGCTTTATTTGCAATAACTCAAAATGATAAAAATCCAGATGTTCTTTAACTGGTGAATGGTTGAACACACGATGGTCCAACCATACAATACTACTCAGCAAGGACAAGGAAGTAAACTCCTGACACACACAGGAACCCAGATGAATCTCCAGAGAAATATGATGAATGAAAAAAGCCAATCCCAAAAGCTTTCACACTATAAGATTCTATTCATATAACATTCTTAAAATGATGAAGTTACAGAAATGGAGACCATGTTAGAGGTTGTCAGGGATTAAGGAGGGAGGGGGTGTGGATATAAAAGGCCAACATGAGGGATCGCGGTTGATGAAAACATCTGTCTCTTGACTCTATCAATGTCGGTATCAACACTACTGTACTACAGTTTTGCAAGATGCTGCCACTGGGGGAAACTGGATAAAGAGTACATGAGATTTGTGCACACAAATCTACAGGTATCTCAAAATAAAAAGCGTAAATTTAAAAAAGAGGGGAGTGAGAATGGGAGCGGCTTGACAGCAAAACAAGAAAAAAAGAGAATATAAATCAGAAAAGACTTAAAGTATTTTAGGCTTACCACTCAATTTGTGCTTCATTCCTATCATTCTGTGTGTCTAAATATCTCAACATTATACATTCCTCCTAAGTTTTAAAAAAACCTTCTTTGCAAATGATTTTATCCTCACAAGGATACAGGACTACAATCTTTAGCAATACAGATGTCTCATCTACATTACTTTTCTCACCAGTTGTTAAATTATGCTTGGCTTTAAGTAACTGACAAAGATTTCTCTTCCTAACTTACACAAGTAGGGCTTATTAGCTGGGATATTTTCTTCCCGTTTCTTTTTGAGAAGGGGTAGAATAACAGAAAGTGAGAATTGAGCTCTATGGTTACTGAATGGCAGGGCTAGAAATTTAGTTTTAATAGTAGGAAATTATCTCAAATTGAAGCCAAAGTGGCCTCAACAAAACACTCTTGGAAAAGACAAATCGTTACCTATGCCAAAAAATCAGTACCTTCCAACATATTTGTACTCCATGTGACAATAGATCATGTAATACAACCATTCCTGCACGAGCACTTGCCTTTCCCAATGAGAAACCATTTGCCGAGTCTCAGTTACCTTCTGAGGTTCCAGATGATGATCCTCGTCCCCTTCTTACCCATGATAGCATCCAGTTCGGCCAGTAATTTCTGTTCCGTAGAAAACAGAGAATGTTCCAGAATTGCTGCAAGGCTTGCTTTTGATTCTGATAAATTTATCATCTGTCGTATATCTTAAGTTAAAGACTCAGACCAGCAACATTTTTTTCACAATTGCAATATGGTGACTGAAACAGTAACAGATAACTATTTCCTAAATCAATTTCTAAGTTTAAAACTGTAGTTTGATTTCAGATGAACACCAAGAAAGATGAAGTATGAGCAAGTTTATTATGACTCCTAACTAATTTAATGGTTCCTAATATCTGAATGTGTTTATACACAGAATGTGTTTATACACAGAAGACAGTTTCCTAAAGATACCTTGCTTTTCATGGGCTTAGGGGAAATTTCAAGGCAGACCACACATCTTATTAGGCATAATACAACTGAAATAAAGGGAAGAGCTACAGGAAGCTGCACACAGAATGCAACCACCTTATGTTAAGGGTTTCCATGGCACAATTCCAACAGAAGAGAGAAAGAGACAAAGGCTTAGCCTCAGATCTAAGAGGCAATGGGTAGGAACAACAGCGATCATGGAAACTGTGATTAAAAAACGAGAATCTAGAGGAGGGCAAAAGGAGGGAAGGGTTCAGAGTATTTCTTCAGTTTCTCCATAGTTTCTATTTCAAAATCAAAAGGATATGGTGTTTGTTGAATGCCACTATTGGGACAACAACATGTTCTGCTTTAATGACTTCCAAGTAGGTCTGAGATAAGAAGCCCACACTCATGCTTTCTCCATTTTTGGTGAACACGATTGCATCTTTACCCAAACGCATAGAACCTGACTTAAAGCCATTCCCATACAATCCAACTGGGACATGACCATTCATGGTGACTTTGTCACTGAAGCCAAAGCTAAAAAGGAAAAAAAATTTTTTTTAAATAAATATGTATAATTTTCATTTTTTTAATTCAAAAATTATAATATCAAGTAAAAAGCCTGGGTATAAACGTTAGCCTCATCCTCTAGTTGCATAATCTTAGGCAAACTACTTTTAATCTATTTTGACATTTTTCCCCATCTCTAAAATGAAAACTAAATCTGCATCGTAGGGTGTATGAATTACACACTAAAACAGGAGCTCATTGCCTAGCACATCCTGCCAAAATGACTGAGTTCTCATTTGGGCTCCTGAGACCCTTGAGATTTTACCCCATGATATTTCTTCTAAATGCAAACAACTCCCTTGATCTCAGCAAGCCTACTGTAGTATGATTACTAATGGCATCGACTAGAGTTTTTGGCAGAATAACAAGTATTTAGGGACAGTAGAAAGGGCTCTGCTGCCACCTTTTCTCTATCCTGTATTGGTACTAGGTACCTTGGCTTCCTTTTCGGGCACACCTGGCTTCACACTGACATCTATTCTGTGACCCTAGAGCCCAAGGCTTCATGACTATTTTATCTTGCTTCCTTCCTTATCCTCAGAATCCCTTTAAAATGACTCCCCACCAAAAGTGGCATTTTACTGGAAATACTGGTTAAAACTAATTAACACTGGAGTATAAATAACTGCTATCACTGTACTATAACTTTAAAGGAATGGTGGAATTTTGGATAAGTCAGACATGCAGAGGATGAGAACGGCAGGGATTGTCTGATAATCAAATAGTAGTAGGAAATGATGGGAAGACTTAAGAGAACAGACGGGCTGGGGGTATAGCATATCATATTTAAAAAACAAAAAGTATGGGCAATAAGTAGGACACATGAAGCCCCTGAACTGGGTAAAAGCAATATTTTTAGAAATGTGACACTTTTGGGGCGCCTGGGTGGCTCAGCTGGTTAAGCGTCTGCCTTCGGCTCAGGTCACAACGAGCCCTGTGTCAGGCTCCCTTTCCCTCTGTCCTTCACCTTGCTTGTGCTCTCTCTCGCTCCCTCTCTTCAAAAAAAGAAAGAAATGTGACACTTTTACATACCTTAGCATTTTATGTAACTTATCTGAAGTCATACCATTCCCATTATCAGTGAATGTCAAGCATATATGGTCATTTATCACTGTTTTGTCAATCCATATCTGTTTAGCATTCACATCAGGATCGTAAGCATTATCTGGGAAACAGAAGTTTTGAGAAATTTTGATTTTTCATTTTAAAGAGCAATTAGTTAAGTACAATCCTTTAACAAGCAACATATTTTTTAAAAATTGAAATGTTTAGTAACTCCTAAAATTTGAAAACATGAAACTAATGTACCTTGCTATACATCATTCACTGATCATTACAGAATTAGCTCTTTCCAAAGCCCTCCATTTGTCACACTGGTACCCACTATACTGAAAAAGTACAAACAAGAAGAATGACTGTACCAAAGAGACGAATAAGACAGGGAGGTCTTCCTCTGCCCCGAGAACCGGCCTGGCTATCAAGAGAGAAACTGAGAGCTAAGTGTCTTCTCGCACTACAAGCCGACACTGAGGGAATGCAATGCAGTTACTGAATAACCAAGGAACCAGTCATGTTTTCTGCTAAGCTGGATACACAGATAAAGGTTTATCTTCTACACAGTTCTTCAAATTGTGGCCCTTTCCAATCTAACCAAAGTTTCTTGTGGCTTTTACATTTCTATGATCTCTGTACAGATCCCCATTTAACACTCTTGTTTAGCTTCCTTGTTTGTCTCAGAATAAATAAGTAGGAAGGAATACATTAAAAAAAAAAAAACACACCGAAAAATTAAAAAAATGTCAACAGAAGCAGCAATAACATCAGCTTGTCAACTATCTAAGTTCTACCGGAACATCCTTAACTGACCACAAATACTTGCTGAGGTATATTTTGAAGTCTTTATGACTAAACATAAATAATGGTTCTCAAACTATCCTTCCATAAGGCAGCCTAGAACTAAAATCATCTTTGTAATCAACAACGTTGGGAGAAATGGTGTTTCACTTAAGTTTGGTACAGCACAAAGAGCTCCAGGACTTTCAGCTGCTCTAACCCAAAGCCAGACAATCACTGTACATGAACGAACAATCAATCCCAGGTTGGGTGGCTCCTCTGGGTTGCCATAAAAAAAGAATGGCTCTGAATAGCTGCAGTGTTATACCCACTTCCGGGTTTTTAAAAAACCAGCTGAAGAGCACATGTTAGCTGGGAGACTTTGGAAAATCTAACTATGGCAAAGAAAAGAAGGGTGCTCAAAAGTTCCTCCTTTTTTTTCCCCTCTCTTATACATCTAAGAGAGAATCCTTTCTTGACAAAGAATCTAAAGTATTTCTAAGAATTCCAAAGAATATACTTTCCTTTATTACCGGTTTCTCAAACACATGCTTAAAAAAAAAAAATCAGGGGCGCCTGAGCGCCTCAGTTGGTTAAGAGGCTGACTCTTGGCTCAGGTCAAGATCTCCAGTCCTGGCACAGAGCTCCACCTCTGGCTCCACGCTCAGCGAGGAGTCGGCTTCCACTCCCTCAGCTCCTCCCCCTGCTCTCTCTCAAATACATAAATCTTAAAAAAAATTTCACATGCAAGAATTTTCCAGATAGAAAAAAATCATGACCCATAATGCAAATCTGATCACAACCATGCCTCTTTTCATGTTCACTGAAACACTATTAAAATACAATTCTATACCTAATCATTCTGTTGGAGGAAACAAAAATGTATTATCACAAATCTAATGTAACATTAATCCCCCTACTTACTAACATCAGAAAAACAAATCGACTGTTATATGTACTTTCCAGCTATTAAAAAAACACAATTCCCATTTTTGCAGTATGTCAATTTCTTTTATAATCAGAATAAAACTATTTTCAACATGTTTCATAAATTTAGCAAAATACTTTAATAGTACAGAGAAGGTTGAGCAGCAATTAATTTCACATCTATTTGAATAGTTGTTATGCTAGATAACCTTTACTGATGGTATCAAAATACATGTTTTATTAAACAGCACATTTGCATATTATTTTTCAATGAAAAGTTTTTTAAAACTTCAATTGCAAGCAACATATTATACATTAATGTCAATTTTACATACCTATTAGTTCAGCAACTGCACTGAATGGCCAAGTGTGACTAGTAGAATTTGTATGTAAAAACTTCGGGCAAAGCTGAAACAAAGCAATGATTCATGTAAATTTATTCAAGTCATACTTTTGAGAACAGAAACCAATATAATTTTCTGTCCCTGTATTAAACAACATTGGGGCACCCGGCTGGTTCAGTTGGTAGAGCCCGTGACTCTTGATCTTGGGGTTGTGAGTTCAAGACCCACGTTGGGTGTGGATATTACTTAAAAATAAAATCTTTAGGGGCGCCTGCGTGGCTGAGTCAGTTGAGCGGCTGCCTTTGGCTCAGGTCATGATCCCAGGGTCCTGGGATCGAGCCCCACGTCCAGCTCCCTGCTCAGCGGAGAGCCTGCTTCGCCCTCTCCCTCTGCCTGCCACTCTGCCTACTTATGCTCTCTTTCTGTCAAATAAATAAAATCTTTACAAATAAATAATAAATAAATAAATAAATATATAAATAAAATCTTTAAAAGAATAAAAAGAATAAAAAGAAAATAATCAACATTGAGACCAAGCAAAAATAATAGCTGCTTGCTTCAGGATATACGTGGAAGTTATAACCTTGAAGATAAGATTCTTGGAAGGCTGTGCTAATCAACTAAATAGTTTACTCATCAACACCTGCTTCAACACCTGCTTCAAAAACCTTGCCTCCTTGGGTCCACCAATCCGAAGCCATGATATCATAAACCACCCAATCAGAAAGTTACCCAGCTTCCAAGGCCTACCTCAAAATTACTGTGAGACACAACTAAGATTTTGCCAAGGGAGTGTTTTTTCCTGAGTGCATTAGCTTAATAAACTCAACTTCACTTATTAATCAACAGGCTTTTCTAGTGGTCTCTTGGAAGGCCAGTATTTGATACTTTTTATATTATTTACTCCCAGTTCATTATAGTTAAAACTTGGCAGTGGAGTAATATATCTATCAACCCTTTACACAATGTCAAATAAAAGTTCAAATCCAAGGACTTTAGGTCTGATTTTATTCACAGTAATACAGTATGAAAGACTATGCCAATCAACCTCATGCTACAGGGAACTCTCTAAATTCCTGAGTAATATAGATATCAAACGTGTAAAAATGTACAAGTGGCCTTCAAAGGCTGAGGCTGAAAAATTTCCATTTCAGACAGTTTCCATGCAATGGTGATTTTGTGTTCATTTTGAACTGATTATCTTATATTTAAGAAAAAAAAGAGGGGGCACTTTTAAGTATTCAATGTGAAGAGCTCTGGAAATGTGATGAGATTATAGATTATAAATGAAACCAACTGAGTTTGTAGTGCTCAGCTGCTGCCACAAGGTGTCAGAAAGAGGTCTATTTTTCCTTTGTCCACACTTGGTTTTAGATAATTCCCAGGCATTCATTCACCATTAGACTGAAGTACACATGTGAGAAATGAAATTCTGTAGAAAAGCAGTCTTCAAAGTGGAGTATGGCACACAATCATGAATATGAAGTAATTCAGCCTTTCTACAGCATATGTTACAAAGAGTTTTTTAATAAAAATCAACTTCCAGATCTTCATCGTGCACAAGAGGCCCTTCTCAAATTAATCTACCTGAGACAGTGCCAGGGGTCAGCCATGAGGAGGCTCTTTACGTCCCAGCCGCCTGCCTTTGCATAATTATCACGCTACCATTTATAGAATGGCATACTCCTCACCTGTTATCAATTTTACAATGGGGAATGGCTTTGGAGTGTGAAACTTCTGGCTACCAAAGGAGAAGACACCCTTAGAATATCTGTCTTTGCTCTATTAATTTATGCATTTCTGTTAGGTGTGAAATCTGGAATTGGAAATGGGGTACTGCGAATTTTAGATGTACTGGCAGAATGTGGTAGTGGGAATGTCAATTTTCATTTAATGTCTTCATCCTATGTATCAATTCCAAATTGACAATGGTACACACTGTTCTTGCATAAGAGCCCCAGGAGAGCAAAGCAAAGGCATCAATAAGAAATAACTGAACGGTAAACAGTGGCTTTTTCAACTCTTCTGAATTCTCATCTCTAGAACATGTCATTAGCTGTGGAGGGAAAAAAACACCCTTGAACGGCCAAAGCAGTGATACACACGTAGACACATATACAGACACACAAACATGCACGCGAAGCAAGTATGTTTAGGTGTGTGACCTTGGGAAAAAGCTTAACCTCTGTGCCTCAAGTTCTGTCATCTATAAAAATGGGGATGATAATCGTATCAGCTTACCAGGGATTAAGACTATTAAATGAGTTAATATTTGTAAATGCTTAGAAGACCAACTGGAACATAATAAGCACTGTGTGTGTGTGTGTGTGTGTGCGCGCGTGCGCTTATTTTAAGTATTCCTTAAAGGCACAACTGAGCTCATACAGAAATAAAAATTAAGGAAGGGGCGCCTGGGTGGCTCAGTCAGTTGAGCATCTGCCTTCAGCTCCAGTTATGATCCCAGAGTTCCAGGAGTGAGCAGCATCAGGCTCCCTGCTCAGCGGGAAGTCTGCTTCTCCCTCTCCCTCTGCCCCTCACCCCAGTCATGTGCACTCTTTCTCTCTGGATCTCTCAAATAAATAAATAACCTTAAAAATATTTTAAAAAGGAAAATCTTTAAGGGCGAGTAAAGAAGGAATTAACAACAAAAATAAGATTTTTTTTTTCAAAAATAAGATTTGAAAATAAGGATGCAATGAGTGAGATGCTTAACTGAAATACAGAGGTTTTTTTGTTTTTTGTTTTTTGTTTTTTAAGGTTTTGGTTTTAATGGTGACTCAGGGATAGGAGATTTGGAAGTAACTGCCCCTCCCCACACCTCAATAAGAAGTTGGGGGCAGCAGGAATCTCTCTAATGGGAAGCTTGTTTGTTTGGGTCTAGATGCTTTAAAAAAAAAAAGTGTAACAGGAAGCTCTGTAAAAAGGGGCATGCCTTCACTTTGGTTAAGTGTTTCGATTTCTATAACCTGTGGAAACACTATGGAGACACAACCTCAACCAGACCACATAGGATTCTCTTAGCTCATTATTTGGGAGAATATTTGAGTACAAAACCTAAAATAAGGGAACAATCATTTAAGGAACAATCCACCAGGAGAAAATGTTAGCAGACAAGATACAGTAGTATTAGACATCACTTCCCACCCCTAAACATTAGGAAATACACACACACAAATGATATGCTCTGAAGACTGCACAGATTTTTTTAAAGAATTAATATAACTTTTAGAATCAACAAGTAGTCACACATTTTAAAAATCAGTTAAATATAAAACTTTTTTGGAAGCCTGAACATATGTACACCCCTGTTCATAGCAGCCTTATTCACAATATGTTTACCTGTGCTCCTGCCTGAAACTGTTTTCTAATGAAGGGGGGGGGGAAAAGAGAAATAAACCTAGAAGAACAAAAATGATCAGAGAAGTGATGGATAATAGGAGATAAAATAGTAGGTTGGAAATTGGAAAGCACAAATAGTGACAACTGATTTAACAGCCTTTGTAAAGAGCGGAATATGAAACCTAAAAGAGATGGGAAACAAAACAAGAAGCAAAACAAGACCAGGAACCTTGGCAGAACTCCAGAAAGCCTCAGGAATTAAGACTTTCTCGGGCCTCCAAAGTCAAAGGTACTAGAGGCTGTATGAAAACAAGACAGCTTCAAAGTCTTTAAAGAAGCAGTAAAGATTCCCCTCTGGTTCCTTCTTTCACCCTGCCAACTACTCGACGCAAACCGGCAGAAAACTGGAGGTCTGTTCTCTGGAGAAAGTGATGATGGCAAGTTCAGGGACAAGGAAAACAGGTGGGTTAAAAGCAAGTCAGCAAATAGCCCAGAAATAAACCCTCACATATATGGTCAAATGATTTTCCACAAGGGTGTAAAGACCATTCAATAGGAAAAAGACAGTCTTTTCAATAAAGGGTGCTGGGAAAGCTAGATATCCTTATGTAAAAGACTCAAGTTGTACCTTTACCTCACAACGTATAGAGAAAAAAAGATCTTAAAATAGATCAAAGATCTAACATAAAGAATTAAAACTATCAAACTCTTAGAAGAAAGCATAGGGGAAAAGTTTCATGACACCGGATTTGGCAATGGTTTCTTGGATATGACACCAAAAGTACAGGAAACGAAACAAAATCAATTGTAAAGGATACAACTGGGATGCCAGGATGGCTCAGTTTGTTGTCTGCCTTTCGCTCAGGTCATGATCCCAGGGTCCCTGGATCAAGCCACGTCTCAGCGTCAGACTCCCTGCTCAGTGTGGAGTCTGCTTCTCCCTCTCCCTCTGCGCCCCCCCCCTTGCCCTGCTCGTGCTCACTCTAAGTAAATAAATAAATAAAATATTTTTTTAAAAAATAAAAGATACAACCGATAGAATGAAAAAGCAATCTACAGAATGGGAAAAAAACATCTGCAAATCAAGTATCTGATGAGGTTAATATCCAGAACATATAAAGAACTCCTGCACGAATCAACAAAAAGACTAAAAACCTAATTAAATAGTGGGCAAAGGACTTAGATATCTATTTCTCCAAGGACTGTATACAAATGGCCACTAACACAAGAAAAGATGCTCATCACTAATCATTAGGGATACACAAATCAAAACCACGAGACACCACCTCATACTTATTATATTAGCATGGTCCTATAAAATTAAACATAGAATTGCTATATGATCCAGCAATTCCACTGCTGGGTACATACTGAGAAGAAATGAAAGTAGGATCTTGAAGAGATTATTTGTACAACCCTGTCCATAGCAGCATTATTCACAATAGCCAAAAGGTGGAAGGCACATAAATATCTATCAATGAATGGATAAACAAAATGTGTTATATTCATACAAGGGAATATTATTCGGCCTCAAATAGAAAAGATCCCTTGGGCGCCTGCCTTCGGCTCCGGTCATGATCCTGGAGTCCCGGGATCGAGTCCTGCATCAGGCTCCCTGCTCAGCGGGGAGTCTGCTTCTCCCTCTGACCCTCCCCCCCCGTCATGTGCTCTCCCTCTGTCTCTCATTCTCGCTCTAATAAATAAATAAAAATAAAATCTTTAAAAATAAATAAGATTTAAAAAAAAGAAAAGAAAAGATCCCTTGACATATGTTACAACTGGATGAACCACCCTGAGAACATTATGCTAAGTGAAATAAGCCAGTCACAAAAAGACAAGTAACTGATGATTACACTTATATGCGATACCTACAGTAGTCAAATTCACAGAAAGTAGAATCATGGTTGCTAGGGGCTGTGGGAAGGAAGAATGGAGATTTATTTTTTAATAGGTATAGAGTTTTAGTTTTGCAAGATGAAAAGAGTTCTGGAGACTGTACAACAATGTGAATGTATTTAACACTACTGACTTAAATACTTAAAAATGGTCAAGATGGTAAATTTTATGTTAAGTGTATTTTACCACAGTAATAAAGAGCTAAATACCAAGTCAGCAAACTGAACAACGTGATACTCCCATCTTCTTTCCCCAGCTGAGCTTTCAGAAGAGCTAGCAGCCAGAATTATCTATACCATGGCAAAAGATTAGATGCAGAATTCCTCTCTGGAAAACCGAATGATTTCTAAAAGTTTCATGTGCTTCTTTTACAGTTGTGCCAGGCCTTTCTGGATAGCATCTTATTTCTGTTGTTCCCACTTTATAAAAATTACTTAAAAAAATTTTAAGTTATTTTTTTTGAGATTTTATTTAAATTCCAATTAGCTAGCATACTGTGTAATATTAGTTTCAACACTTACAGTGATTGTGATTCAACCATATAGTATTCAACACTTCATTACAACATCCGGTGCTCATCACAAATTTTTACGTTACTTTAAACAAACCTATTTTATTTTCTAACACTTCCATTCTTTAGGCTCTTACAAATACTGATATAGGGTGCCCCCAACAAAACGTAACTAATTCCTACCTATATGATCACCCAACACTGAAGCCTACCAAAGGAGCTCTATTCATGTATGAATACCTTCCAGTCAGCTGTGTGTCTTACTCGGAAATGTAATCAGGTTAACCATCTCCAGACATTTGAGACTGTAAGATTAGAAGTCGAAAACACAAAGTAAAAGGAACAAAGAAAGTAGAGGCAATGCAGTGAGCAAAAGAAAACTTCAAAAATACTTTGATCAATATGCCCAGTGATAACAAATATTTTGTCCAGGGGAGATGAGTGTGTGTGTGTGTGTGTGTGTGTGTGTGTGTGTGTGTACAGCATTTTGTTTTTTTAAGTAGGCTCCATACCCAAGGGCTTGAACTTATGACACTGAGATCAATAGTCGTACACTCCACTGACTGAGCCAGCCAGGCACCCCTCTCCAGGGAAGATTTTGAAAAGACATTCAGTGGGGCACCCGGGTGGTGCAGTCTGTTAAGTGTCTGACTCTTGGTTTCAGTTCAGGTCCTGATCTCAGAGTCTGCTTCAGACTCTCCCTCTCCCCCTCCTCCCTGCTGTGTGCACATGCTCTCTCTCTCAAATAAATCTTTAAAAAAAAAAAAAAGATATATAATTAGTTATATATAATCAATATAATTATTTAATTATAATAGTTAAATAGTAGGAGAACATGTGGAGGAAATCTCACAGAAAAGAAACAATGAGTAGGAAAACAGGAGAGAAAAGAAAACAGAAAAACAGAGGGAAGAAATATGTCAAATAAATGAGAAATCTTTCCAGATTATTAGGAACTTGAGTTTCCAGCCTAAGTGCCCAATACAATACATAGGACTCTAAAAGCATGCTTTAAATTTCTAAGAGAAATCATTCCTAATTTAGAATTATAAATCCAGATAAATGATATGTAAAGAGCAAGCAATGGTAACATAAACCTATTTCTAAGAAATGACATAAAATTTTTTTCTTCCCATGTACTCTGCTCTCAGGAAGCTATACCTGTTTTTGGAAGGACGGATGGACTCCACCACTACCAGGAACAAAAATAACAATATTTACTGAGTGCTTTCTGCATGCACAGACCTTTTATATGTATTTGCTCTTTTACTGTTTAAAACCACCCTTTGAGGTGCCCACCATCCTTCAGACTGGAAACTCAGGCACAGAGAGAGCAAGTCATTTGCCAAGGTTACATATCCAGTTGTCAGTCAGGATTTGAACCCAGGCAGGTGTGCTCCAGAGCCCATGCTCTCAATCATTAATCTACTGCGCCTGCCAAGGGAGTAAACTCCGAAAGAGGAATATGTGGGATGGAGACACAACGAAAGGGGAAGGAAATTTCCAGAAAGATGATAAAGGGAAGTCCCCAAAACACAAGGGGGCCAACAAAACTGACAAAATATTGGGTGTGCTTGAGCACATCTGGAAAAGATTTTCCAGTTAAAGTTTGGATAAAAGAGCAAATCTAAGCAAACAAAATACAATATATTAACTTCAGAAAAACAAAAAGCTGTACAACAAAGAAAATGCAATCATAATTCTGGTTGGCTCATTTGTGAATAATGGTAAGAGTGATAAATCATACAATAATTCAACAAAAAAGAGGTAAGTGCATTGGAAGGATGGGTCAAGGTGAAAAGAGTGTGCACATATCAGTTAAATCCACAGCAGGACTACTGGAAAACAACAAAATGGTACCACCATTTTACTTAGAAATACGAAAGCAGAAAGCAAAAATATGTTTTTGTCACTCTGAATTCCGTTCTTGGATCTCTTGCCCTCCTAAATTAAAATTTTGCATACATCATTACGGTTCACCCCTTGTGTCTTAGGTTTATGACTTCTGACAAATGCATAAACATTAATTCCGAGACTCCTAATGAAAGCATTTGATAGCTAAACCCAAACAACGAGCATGGCTGTATTCAAATGAAACTTTATGGAAACTGGAATGTCTACGTCACATAATTTTCATATGTTGCAAAATATTCTTTTGATTTTTTCCAACTGTTTAAGAATCATGTTTAAGAATCATTCTTAGCTTATGGGCCATACAAAAACTGGTGGCAAGCTGGATTTGGCCCATGAGCTGTAGTTTGCCAATTCCTGTCCTAAAGCAAAAAGATGGGTGGAGATACAGTCCAGAAGCTGCAGATGGGAGATTACCGCCAATGAGGTTCCAAACAGCCCGTATTACCCACAAAAGAAATATTTAGCACATGGACAGCTGCTTCACCCAGAAAGCCAGCTAACAATACCGGTCTCTTAACACTGTTTTGACCCTTATCTTTGCCCCCTTTATCACCTCAATCTTGAAGAACCTGAGACAGCAACAAGGCGGGGGGGGGGGGGGTGTGCAGGAAAGGAGAAGAGAATCCAAGGGCAGAAACAGGATGAAACCAGTTCACTCCTTTTCCCCACTACAGGATTTTGGTACAGAATGTGGCCCAATCTGAAGAGGGGGAAGGGCTGGGCATTAAATTGAATAAGATATTTTAAATTAGATGAGGCCCGACTTCACAATACCTGAGGCTAATTGGAAAGCCTTACATCTGCCCAGATTCACCCAAGCGTGGAAGAGAACCATTAGCAAATATTTAAACCCAGTGGTAAAAGAATAAAGTTGTTCTCTATATTCAAACTACTAAATACTATCTCATTGAATAGGCCAGTTATGTAACCAAAGGAACTTTATTCAGTATAGGTAAAGAACGCTTATATATAGATCAATAAAGATCTAAGAGAAAATAGAAAAATGGGCAAAGGACACAAATAGGTGTTTTTTTAAAAAGTTAAATATTTAACTTTTAAGAAAATGCAAAATAAACCCAGATACATTTCACATTCACCATACAGGAAAATTGTTATAAAGTCCAACAATATCAGGTGTGGGTCAGAATGATTAAATGGAAGAAGTCACAGGGCAATGCACCATTTTTAAAGCAATGGTATTACCATTCGACTGTTAAATTTAACAAGACTATGGTAGCCATTCTCTGGCAAGAGTCACCAACCTCAACAGAGGACGTACCTTCTGCATAACACCAACTTTTTAAGGATAATCAGGTAGGAAAACCACGCCCACATTTTAGGAGGTGAAATTTCAATTCCTGTGTGTGACCACTCCCTACGACTTAAGGCTCATAGATACAAGAAACGCTGGAGGACTTCCAGGAACGCCCCAAAACAGACACGACGGAGAGGCTAGAGGAAACGGGAGAACCCAGTGACTTGGTGATCTGGGCCCGAGGGCTTAACTGGAGGGAAGCGGTAGGAATGTGAACGAATCAGGAAGACCCGTCCCGGCTCGCTTCACCCCGTCCCACCGCCTAGAGGTCAAGGCCGCCTGGCATTTCTGGCCGCGGACTGCCGCTCCCGCTCCCTCCCCCTCCGGGGCGCCCCGCGCGCCCTCAGGCCGAGAAGGGGTCAGGGGCCCCGCGGTCCGAGGGGCGGGCAGTCCCGCCACCGAGGCCTCGCCCTCGACCGACAGCTGCGAGGCAGCCAGGAGAGCCGGGAGGAGGGGCCGCAGCCCCGGCCCGCCCCAAAGCCGCGGGGGCAAAACAGATACCCAGCGCCGAGGAAACGGAACGCAGCCCGGCCCGTGCCGCCCGGCCCTGCCCGCCGCCGAGTCGCTCCGCCGACGGGAGCGAGATGGCCGCCCCCTCCCCTGGCCCCACCGCGGCCCCAGCCGCCGCACCGCGCCGACGAGTCGCCACCGCCCACTGCCGGCCCCCCCTCGCTTGCCCGCCTGCCCGCCCTCCTGGGACACGGCCCGCTCCACCCCTCGCGGCTGCTCACCGCGCTGAGGCGGATCCCGCTGGGTGGCTGCGCCGCCATCTTGAGCGAGCTACAAAGCCAGGACCGGCCTCGGCCGCAACCCGACTGGGAGGCGGCCGGGACGACTGTGGGGCCCGCTGGGCCCGCCCACTTCCGGGGCGGGGCGCGCGGCTGCCCCGCCCGCCCACTTCCGCCTCAGGCTCAGTTGTATTAACAACGTGGGGGAAGTAAATTGCCGGGATGGTTGAAGCCGGGGAGAACTGGGCTCGAAGCGTTGGGCTCTGCAGGGAGAGGGGACATGCGTGAGACTGGGGGGAGCGAAAGGGTCGCTCGCTGCGTTAACTGGACCTGGAAACTTGAGAGTGGAGAGTCTGAAGTCTGTCCGCACGTGCGCTGGGGCCCGGAGAGGTGAACTCGAGGCGCCTGATTGGCTGGACGTGTATTGCACTAAAACAAGCCGCCCATGCCCACCTGTGCCAATGTGATTTGAAACCTTGTTAACGAAATGTAAACTTTGTGCATTTTGGATTTGTTCTGGAAGTCATCGTCCTTCGGCCTGGTGAAGAGTCCTTTCTTGCCTGCACATTTATTGAGTCGTTCCGCTCATGCACACTTGGTGTCGACTTTGCGCTGGGTATTGGGCTAAGTGAGTAGGATATAGAAATGAGTAAGTCTAGGGCTGTTCCATACTGCAGGTAAAGAGAGGATGGAAAGGGTTTTTTAAATATCCATTTAGGTTTTTTGCTTTTTGTTTTTCCTTTTATCTCTTTGTCCTGATTTTGGGGAAGTTTAAGCACATGTCAGGTCCCCAACACTTGTTTTTGTTTAATTTTTTTTAACAAAAAAAAAAGATCCACCAAAACCCAGTTAGCCCATTTCTCCCACCCACTCCCCACCTATTGCGTTTTTTACTGTAATACATTTTCTTTGTAAAAATTCAGATAATATGGAAATATAAAACATAAAATTTACCCCCAATCTCTTCACCAGAACGTATAAACAATTTGGTATACGTTAATCCAGGCTTACTATATACTAAATATTATTTCCAATACAGATGGTCTTCCCACTTGCCATGGTTCTACTTAGGATTTGTCAACTTTACCATGGTGTGGAAATGATATGCATTCAGTAGAAACTGTACTTGGGGCGTGCCTGGGTAACTCAGTCAGTTGCGCGTCTGCCTTCAGCTCAGTTCATGATCCCAGGGTCCTGGGATGGAGCCCCGCATTGGGCTCCTTGCTCACCGGGGAGCCTGCTTCTCCCTTTCCCTCTGCCCTTACCCCACCTTTCTCCCCCGACTCGTGATACTTCTCTCTCTTGCTCTGCACTCTCTCAAATAAATAAATAAATAAAATCTTAAAATAAAAAAAGAGGGACGCCTGGGTGGCTCAGTTGGTTAAGCAACTGCCTTCTGCTCAGGTCATGATCCTGGAGTCCCAGGATGGAGTCCCGCATTGGGCTCCCTGCTCAGTGGGGAGTCTGCCTCTCTCTCTGACCCTCTCATGCTCTCTCTCTCTCTATCTCATTCTCTCTCTCTCAAATAAATAAATAAAATCTAAAAAAAAAAAAAACTGTACTTGGAATTTTGAATTTTGCTCTTTTGCTGGTGTGAAAATTAATAGCCAGAAACCTCACTAAAGTGGAGTTGGAGGTTCCACAGGGTGACCTCTCCTGCCCTACCCATCCTTATCAGTTGCAGACCCAATAGGAAGAGACCGACTTGACATTACCTGGACTTGACCTTGCTCCTTGGTACTACTTTACTATCCCTGGGGGAAAGAAAAACCACTTAACCTTATCTCCTACACCCCCGAAACAGCTCAAGAAGCCGCTATACTTTGAACTCCCAATTTACTCCAGTGGACTTTTTAGTTTATAACAGCCTTCCCAACCTACTTTTTCTCCTTAAAAAAAGGGTACCTCCCCTTTATTCCCTGGACTCGACTATGGGTTTTGCCGCAACTTGTTTGTCCCGGATTACAATCCTCTTTTATTCTTGAGTGAGCCCATTTTTACTAGTAAAATAACTGGCAGTTCTTATTTTATTTTTAAAATTAACACTGGGCTAGCGGTATCCGGTATGAATCTCTCTCACGATGCTGGGTAGCAGCAAAGCTGTAGTTCCCAATCAGCCATGCTATTGGGAAAATAAACAACCTATATACACTTACAACCATTGCACCCAAACAATCTGTTTTTCACTTTCAGACAGTATTTAATAAATTACATGAAATATCCAACACTTTCTTATAAAATAGGCTTTGCATTAGATGATTTTGTCCAACTGTGGGCTAACATGTGTTTGAGCACATTTAAAGTGAGGCTAAGCTAAGCTATGACGTTCAGTGTGTTTAGGTGTATTAAATGCATTTTCAACTTACAATATTTTCCTTTTTTTAAAAGATTTTATTTATTTATTTGACAGAGAAAGAGATAGCGAGAGAGGGAACACAAGCAGGGGGAGTGGGAGAGGGAGAAGCAGGTTTCCCTCTGAGCAGGGAGCCCTCTGCTGGGCTCGATCCTAGGACCCTGGGATCATGACCCGAGCCAAAGGCAGATGCTTACCCTACTGAGCCACCCCAGGCACCCCTCAACTTACAATATTTTCAACTTACGATGGGTTAATTGGAAGGTAACTCCATCGTAAGTCAAGGAAGATCTACATGAATGAGAACACGTTTAGGGGCGCCTGGGTGGCTCAGTAGGTTAAGCTTCTGCCTTCAGCTCAGGTCATGATCCCAGGGTCCTGGGATCAAGCTCTGCATTGGACTCCTTGCTCAGTGGGGAGCCTGCTTCTCCCTCTCCCTCTGTACTCTCTTCGCTCTTGCTCTTGCCCTCTCTCAAGTAAATAAATAAAATCTTTAAAAAAGGTGTTTTGTTGTCACTCTTGCAACTCACCATTGGGCAAATGACATAATGTGAACACCTAAGTCAAAGTGCTAGTTAACACCACTTGTAATGCCCTGGACTGAATAATTTCTCGGTTTCCTCCAGCGTTAAGACTATTATGTAAGAGGCTTTTTCATCAACTCTATTGAGAGCCTTCTTCGCGTCTGTCAGTGTCAGGGCTCTAAGGATTTAGTGGTGAACAAAATAGAGAACTTATGATCTCAAGGCTGTGTTTGTTAAATTGTGGCCCATTTGTGAGTTGTGAAATCGATTTGATGAGTCTCTACTAGAGCTTTGTGAAAAACAAAATAGGATTTTAATTTAATAGTATAGTGCAATGTCAATCTAGGACTACATCCAACTTCTTCACATACTAGCTATGTGCTATTCAGCAAATTACTTTGATTTTTGAGATGAGACTAGTCTGGATTATGTGGCTGGGCCCTAGATGCAATCCCAAGTATCTTTATGAAACAGAGGCAGAGGGAGATGGGGTCACAGAAAGGTTATTTGACCTCTGCAGCAGAGAGAGACTTGCTATGCTGCTGGTTTTGAAAATATAGAAGGGGCCTGGAGCCAAAGAATGCGAAGAATGCAGTTCTAGAAGCTAGAGAAGACCAGGCAACTCCATTCTAGAGCCCCCCGAGTCTGCGGAGGAGACACCGTCAGCCCAATGAAACTTATTTCAGACATCTGGCCTCCAGAACTGGAAGAGAAGAAATTTCTGTCATTTTAAGCCACTGAGTTTGTGATAATTTGTTACGGCAACAAAAGGCATAGACAATATGTTCATGTACAAGCAAGTACTTACCTAAACATACAAATTCTTGTCCCCCTCCCCCCTTTTTCACACAATTGAGCACACTGTGGAATTCTGCATTCTCAAGGCTTACTCATATCGAATAAAATTTAGGCCAACATGTACAGGCTAAGCTTAGACCAGGTTGGTATAAAAGGGGATTTAACAAGAAAGTAAATGCCCCACCACACCCCTCTGGTGCTTGTATCAGACAAACCCAAGCTTGCATGGAAATCTTTATTTAAAAAAAAGTCAAAGCTAACTTGAGGTGATTTTTTAAAAGAATGTATTCATTTATTTGAGAGAGTGAGCACGAGTGGGAGGGGCAGAGGGAGAGGGAGGGAGAATCTGAAGCAGTCTCCTCGCTGAACATGGAGCCGAGGTGGGGCTTGATCTCAGGAACCCGAGATCATGACCTGAGCCAAAACCAAGAGTCAGACGCTTAACTGACTGTGCCACCCAGGCATCCCGACGTGATTTTTTTTTTTTTAATGATAAAAACTATCTTCTTTGGGGAGGGCTGTAGATTGAAAGTTCATCTCTACCCAGACTTATATGTTGAAGTCCTAACCCCCAATGTATTTGAAGGTGGAGCCTTTGGGAAGTGATTATGTCACGTGGTGAAACCCTCATGAATATTATTAGTGCCCTTATAGTAAAAGAGGCCCTACAGAGCTCCCTCAGCTCTTGTGCCATGTGAGGACAAGGCAAGAAGAACCAAGAAGGTGCCTTGATCTTGGACTCCCAGCCTCCAGAACCGTGAGAAATAAATGCTTGTTCTTTAAGCCACCTAGACTATGGTATTTTTGTTATAGCAGCCCAAATGGACTAAGTCAGGGAAAGAGAAATTTTTTTAAAGTCCACACAATGGTTGGAATATTAGCCAGATAAAACAAAACCTCCACCTGATCTAAATCAACACAATGTGATATCTGGTTGCTTTCACAAACTTATACAGTTATGCATCTTGGGTTTTATGTAAAACAGTATATCATGGAGATCTTTCCATAACTACATAAAGAGCTTCCTCATGTTATTTTGCAACTTCATAACATTCCTTTATGTATTTGTTTTTTTAAGTAATCGCTATGCCCAGTGTGGGTCTCAAACTCACAGTGAGATCAAGAGTCACACGCTCTACTGAGCCAGCCAGGTGCCCCAGTAACATTCTACTTTATTGATGGATTGTAACTTCTTTAGCCAATCCTTCTGCTTGTGGGCACAGGTCGTCTCTACACTTCTGTTATTATCAATAAGACTACAATGAAAAACTTGTATGTAAGTCATTTTACACATATATATGTATATTAGATAAATTCCTGAAAGTAGAATTGTTGGGTCAAAAGATACATCCATCCATAGTTTTGATTGAAATTGCTTATAGTAATTTATAGTCCTTATAGCAAAGTAGAAGGGATCCTGTTTCCTCTATTACTAA